CCCTCCCCCATTATTGTTTGCTAAGATCTTGCTGCTTCTCCTGGACAAGGAACTTTCACTTCTTCATATCACTTGACTCTGCATTACCTTGAGCTTTGAGGTGAGTATATGGCCCACCTATAGGCAGTGCTCACAGGAGAGCTGCTAACTCCTTATGATTGATCTTCACATCAATGATGGAGTCATTCATACTCTTTCAAAGGGGTCCAAGTTGTGGTTTGTGTTGCCCCCATCCCCTTGTCTTCTCACACGTCCACCTTGTAGCACATGTAGAGTTCAGATTTGTTCTTGTACTCTGCAGAAGACTCAGAAGTCCCCATCTTCCAGCATCACTCAGTGTAAGTTCACTTCACATGAAGCTCAATGCTCCTTGCTCTCCAGATGTCCAAGCTGCTAAACTTCCCTTCTAAGTAGGCCAGCAGCTCTGTGCACCCTACAGAGGCAGGTTTAGCATTTGTTCATCTGTTTCTTTCTGCAGAGGCTGGCCCAGTTCCTGTAGGGAAGATAGAGACTGAGGAAGATCCCGGATCAGAAATCTGCCCTTCATCCCCATGCTTCTATCCACAAAGGTCAGAACTACTGCTGTCATCCTGGAGTTGCTCCACAAGGCTTTCTTCCAGCTCCTGGATGGATTTCCACACAATAAAAAGTCTCCACTGAAATGAGAGCACGTGGCTGGCTGGCTGCAGCTCACTTACTGCTCAGCTACCTGGGGTTCTTTCTTTCCTGCCTAGAGTTACTGAAGTAGAGCTACAGCTCTAAATTCAAAAATCTACAATGAATAAAGGGAAGGCTAGGACACATGGATATGCAGGTCTAGAGCCACGGACGGGATGGCTTGCAGTATGGACAGGTGATTACAGGCAGTATAATCTTTACTAATTTGAAAAAATGTCTACTTTTGTCTTTGAGGTATCTTTGAAGCAGTGTGGCTACTGGTGTCACCAGGTCACTAAGGAAGTCTGCAGGCTCTGACAGAAAACCACTGCAAAACCCCTGCTTAACCAACAAATAGCTGCTGACCTCTTCTGTGCACGTTCAGCTCAAGAGGTGGCTTGTCCTTCTTCAGTCTGAAGTTCAGAGGCACGTTTCAATCCTTTCCGATAAGTAAGTTTTTGATTTTTATTTAAACACTAAGAACTCCAGCTCAGAGGCGTGTTGACACTTACTACCGTAGCAGGGATGTGGGAGCAGGGAGAGATGAAAAACATTACTAAACTAGGTCTGAGAGCAGCTTCAGACTTAAGCTATTGCATGCTACTCCTTACTCTCGTAATTTACAGGCAGCTGTAGTAAGTTCTTCCTGTAGGAGTTCTTCCCTGGGGAAGAGACTGGGGAAGTTAATTAGTTACCAAAAAAACAAGCCTAATGCTATTGCTTTGAACTGAACAAAGGTAAATACAATGAAACCACCTCTAACGCAGCCATTCTGGAGCAGTCTAGTTTTGAGTGTTCAAGGGTGATTCATCTACACAATGTGACTGTGAGAAAAATCAGGTTTCTAAATTTCTGGTGGTAGCTGAAGCACAAGAAACATCTTCAAGCCTCAGGGGAAAAATCCCATGGGGGAATGGACCTAGTCCCACACCGCCTTTCAGCGAAAAGCAACAAGCACAAGGGGAGGGGATGTTTCTCATCAGACACTACAAGAGCAGAGACCGATCTGGTAGGAACTACAGAGTAGCATTAACAGTGGATTTAAAGTTCCAGGTAAGCTTAAAGCTCGTTCAAAACAAAACATTCTTCAGGTGGTACAGCAAACGACCAAACAGCTTCTCCTCTGCTCTGACACAGTTAGCAGATGTGACAGCTGTCACAAATTGCTTGTCCCCCGCCCCCACTATTACAAAAAGAGACTAGAGCAGACATCCGCCTCACTGCAGACAGGAGGATCTGTTCTGTAATTTACAGAGGAACAAGGCAAAGCCTGTACTGTGACACACTATCGTTTTTAGTGTTACTCAAACAGCAGCTGACGAGAACTAGTCAAGACTTGCAGGTTTTGTGCATGCTGCAGCATGGGGGGGGGGTAAGCTTAAGTATAAGTTGACAAACAGCACTTTGCTTATCTCAAGAAGAAACTTGAGCACTCTCTCAGCAGATGACTGAGCTGTAAATCATGTTATGTATAGCCCTAAAAGTATCATTAAGACAACTTGAAATAATTAGTTTGTATTAGATAAGAAAATTTTTGGCTTGCAGTTATATAGATGAAAACATCTTCCAGTCCTGTGTGCATTCTGTATCCATCTGAAAAGCCTCCAGCTGTGTTTTAGAAGGGCTGAAGTGTCTCATAAAAGCACCCCCAACAGCCTTAAACTCAAGACTAAGTTGTCTGTAAGAATTTAAGGCCCAAAGCTGAACTTTATTTACTTAGGGACGTTTGCTCCTCTGTCATATTCTGGTTTCTTGGCATAGGAGGGTTACTGGTCTAGGGTGTGAATGAAACTATAAATTTATAACAGGGTAGAGTGTGGGGAAAGTAAAGTTTTTTGTTGATGCTCAGGTGAACTGTCACACAGAACTACAGAGTCTGGAGAGGGGGGAAGCATCTGAAAACAACTAAATCATATTTATAGGTTTGGAGTGTTTGGGGTTTTGTTGGGCAGGGGGAAGCTATTTCTGAGTTTCACTGATTGGTATGTAAGATTTGCACCACTTCCACTGGTTTTGATTACCAATCAGTCTCCGTTCAACTATGAGCTTTAAGTTTGCCAGGAAAAGGGTAAGCAGACTGAAACTCTGAACAACAATGGAGGTCTCTGGGCATGCGTTTGTCTTGGTCTCTTCTGCTCCAAACAGTGTATGAGATATCCACCTCAATTTTGACTTGCAAAAGGAAATCAGTACATGTCACCGAAGAACAAGTAATACAAGTAGGACAGAGAACTGAGGATATTGGAATCAACGGATCTCTGAATGCTGTTACCTGAAATACTGTGGCAAGGTAGAAACTGAGCAAGAGCAGAATATTTAACCAGACTGCTTCCCCTGCCCCATGTCCATACTTCACACACACCTCGCCCCATATGTTTAGCCTGTGTAAATTTAAAAGCCCAAAACTAGTGGTTCTTTTCAACCCAAAGGGCCAGCTGTAGAAAACAAGATACACCGGGCTGGCTTTCCGTAGAGCATACTGAAGCCAGAGAGAAAGCAATCGAAACTCATGGACAAAATAAGTGTTTTGATGCTAACTTTAGTAAGTAAAGTTTTCCAGATAAAGGCAATTGCATCCATATTTAACAGCTGTTAAAGAGATACACATTTAATTGCATTATATAAGGGGTGCTTTATATTCAAGAGAAAACATTTCAAGTGTTTTAGTTCTACCTGTTTGGAATCCAGACTTTCTCCCTAGAAGATACTCCAGTTGACAAAAGGGCCTTGTTCAGGTATCTGGGATCAACTGAATACATTTATTTAAAAGCAATTTTAAATATTAAAAATTTAGAAATTAACACATACAGTACTCAAAAACTGTCACATTAAATACATGTGAATAGACATGTGTACTGATGTTTTACCTTAACATTCAATGAGAAGTCAAGATCTTAACTAGTGGCATGACCAGATCCGATTTCTGTACACGTTGATGTACTATGTAATAAAAAAATAAATAGCAACTGTTGTTCAACAGTAAATAAGACATCATCTGCAGAGCATACTTCCCCCTCTGGGGGCACCTTCCCCTGCCCCTCCCCCCAACCCTTTATCAGCTAATTTTCCATAAAGATTTAGACTTTCCAAATACTATGTCATTACAAAATTGCAGACAGTGGCTCATTGAGTTCAAATATAATACTGTACTTAGCAATATCAATACATAATATAATACTGTACTTAAGCAATATATTACATTTTCAGGTTTCTTATGACCCACAATAAGCCAGAATAAACAGAACTATTGTTCCCGATGGAACTCATTTAATTTTATAAAATGCATATGTATACTATTTTAAAGAGCGTAGAAAAGAATAGACATTTGACTCTACATAATTTTAAAAGCCTAGGTTTTCTTTATATGATTTGCTTTTATCAGTTTATTTCAAGATCACTTAAAAATACAATTGACCACAAAAGTGAATAGGTTTTGTTCTTTAATGCAACTTAAAACATTGTACTAAGGGATAAAATGGAATGCTAGATAAATGCTAATCCTGACTTCCTTTCCATAAAAAACAGAATAAAGTCTGAAATACTGGAGCTGGTAATACTGAAGATTAGATGCCAGCAGGCTCGCTCACTTGTGTTGCGTAATTTTTTTTTTTCAGTAAACTTTTGTTATAAATGATAAAATCATTAACAGTTGATAAATGTTTTGCATTTTTTCCATGTGGGGTTTAGACTGATATTTGTTTCTATATTAACCACAAACAGAATTAAATATTCACTGACTACAGTCTTGTAAAACTGAATTAAAAATGAAAGCCCTCAGAAAGTCTGAGATGCGTTTTTATGAAATGAAAATCTTTCCATGCAGCCAAGACAATCTGCTTTGAAATAGCAGTACTAGGTACTGAAGCCAAAATAACATTTAAAGCAAGTAATACAAAACTACATATGAAAGTCATGGAACCTGCTACAGACAAACTATGGGAAAAAACACAACTGCATTATGTTTCAAAGTTAAAAAATGAGGTTGAAAGTGACATAGGAAATGAAAGTTTTCAGTAATACATTTAAGTGTTTTCTGGCAATGCAACTTTATACCAACTTTCAAGAAACCTCAGGTCAAATGCAGCCTTCCAAAGATTTTCTTAGAAATTAGCTTTATAACAGTATGTCTGTTACTTGGTGCTTTGAATTAAGACTATTACAGTTACAGTTTAGTGAACTCTACTAAAACCAGCCTGATAATGATAGAACTCAGATCACAAGTTAACAGCCTGATCAAATGCATGACAGGTCATCCTAACTTCCACTTTTTAGAGCAATTAAAAATAATTTAAATTTATCTTTATATCACCACTTAAGAACAGTATGTCTGTTACTTGGTGCTTTGAATTAAGACTATTACAGTTACAGTTTAGTGAACTCTACTAAAACCAGCCTGATAATGATAGAACTCAGATCACAAGTTAACAGCCTGATCAAATGCATGACAGGTCATCCTAACTTCCACTTTTTAGAGCAATTAAAAATAATTTAAATTTATCTTTATATCACCACTTAAGAAATTTTATTTTAGGTAACTAACTTTTAGCAAGGTTGAAGACAGGAAAAAAAAAAACCACAAAATCATTTTCAAAGAGCCAATTTAGCTATAAACAAATACTGTTGCAAGCTCACATTGATCTGAATAGCAATTAAGTTAAAATGTTCTTTTCTTCAAATGTCGCTATATGACTACAGTACTACTTTTGTACAAAGGCAGGTTTCAAGTAAGCGTCTAAATGCATGCATAATGTCAACAGTTAACATTTTCTAGAAGTCCTTGGTTACTAAGAATTCAGTGAAAGAAACCAGCAAATTTCACATATATCTACTAAAGAACAATATGACTAATTTTCATTAAAATAAGTTTTCAGATGAAATATATTTGTAACTTTTCATAGTGAGGTAATATCACAGGGGAACTGCAATCACAGTTTGGCATAGGTCCACGTAATATAAACATGAAATGCTGTATGCACACCATAAAACATTACTGTTATCTGTAAAGTCAGTGAATATTTGTCTTCATAATTACACTTAACTGAGCACTATATTAAATAAATACCAAAGTGGGTTTTATAGCTGTAAACTGCATACACTTATAAACTGCAGACTGATTTTTAAATTGTCCAAAACCATTCACTCATTCTAACTTTCTGCTAATTGTATATTGAGAATACCGAGTTATTAGGAACAGTCATTTTTGTACAGTTACACGGTTGACAGAGACCACCTATGTTTGGAAAGCTGGCAGTTCATACGTATTTTGAACAGCATAGACAGAGATGTAAGTGCTAGATGCCAAGGATGGCTTCAACGAACCCAATAAGGCGTGCCAGGTTCCAAGGCTACCATAATACTGGCAAAGGCAGAATAACACAGTATATTTACAATACATATAATTCAACCTCATGAGGTGAAACTTAAATGAATTTGTAATTTGTAACAGCAGCTATATATACAATTGTGCACAGGATTACAGGGAGGCAGCAGCGTTCGCTTTTGCTAAAAAGCCCGTCTTGCATGAAGAATGTGCAATGCTCAAGTTTAGGATTTTTTTGTCTGTTTGTTTTTACTAGTCTGACAGAATGTGCACAAAGGACACTGGAAAGACCCCTTTCCTCTCTGGCTGTCCTTCGATGTGGCCAATCTGCAACACAGGAGAAAAACGTACATATATATATATGTATGCGTGGGTACACATGGAGTTCATAGACTGCATTTACTTCATTCAAAAGCAGCAGAACTGCATGAATCCCACAGAGCCTTTGCAAGTTCTTGGACAGTTTAAAGCAGACCTTAGTTAACATTTGACTTTGTGTAAAGGAACAAAATAGAACCATACAAGCATATTATAAATAAGACAAATTAAGCCAACTAAATCTAAAAAGAACAAAAGTACAACTTTATTTGGAAACCTGCGTACACCACTGAATTTCAAGAATCTCACCAAAACAGAAGCCTGATTTTCTTTTGTTTAATAGACTAACTTTCAGTAACAAGATAAACTAAGATGAATGGTTTTCAGAGATGTAAACTGAATAACTCCTAAACATCTCACTTAAGGGAAATGTCTGCTACCATTGTGAAGTTACTTATAATAATCTGCATGCTTCACTTAATGTGATCAAGGCCCAGCTATTTTCTCATTGAATTAGTATGTTTCCTAATGATTTATGTGCATACTCGTGTTTATAACAAATCACAGCATTGTCTGATTAAGTATCCTTCATGTACAGCTTCTTACATGTTTTGCATAATAATAATTTATAAAGAAATAGCCAAGGAACTTCTAAAAAAAAAAATAATGGCACCTTCTATACGAACTTTACATGTTTAAAATGCATAATTATAAACAACTGTCAAACTGATAGCACTGGAGTAGCAGTCTTGACTGACCACATAACCCTCTTCTCATCCTGCTACAGTGCTGCTCACTACTTTCAGAATAACAGTGTACCTCCTTCCTCTTCCACAAGCTAACAAAATGGGAAGGGGAAACATGCAGGGCTGGCCATTTCCTCTTGTAGAGCCAAATTTTTGAAGCATATGAGTCAACAGCCCTCGTTTCCCTTCTCAGAAACACTCAGACTGGAGCACTTCATGGAACTTATTGGGCATGTACCCAGGCATCTTAAAAAGCCACTTCACAAAACAGATTCAGCAACTAATGCAACTATAATCAGGGACTGGATGATATGGTTAATACACCAGCTTTTCACTGGGCATTGCTTTTTTGATACTGTCTTTTCAGTTGAAAGTCTTCCACGCTTAAACGATGCGTGAGAGGAAACCATGTAGCTAGAACTAAAATGGCAAAGGTTGCGCCGCACTTAGATTAGGAAATCACAGGCAGCCTAGCGATAAGAATTTGTTTTAATCAAAATGAAATTTGTCTCATTTTCCCCAGTAATAATTCTTAGGTAGAGAAGTACGATGTAGCAGGGCTTTGGAGGCAAGAAGTAGAGTGTCAAGGGAGGGCTGGAGCCTTCAAGGGGGGCTGAGAAAAACCTGACGTTAGCACTCATGAACCAAAGAACAATATGCAGTCCAGAGTAGGGGGGAGTGTGATACAAACCAATGGCACGGGAGGGAAGAAGGGAAAGAAAATGTTAACTACCTCTCATTTAAGGAGGAAAACCATCAGCTTACAGCACGAATTACAAATAGTTTTTCAGACTTCCAGCAACCCCTCTAGGTATAACTTAACATTTCTGGTGAACTGAAGATAATTACATATCTCATTTTTCATGAAGCGTGTAAGCATGCTAAGTGGAGTAAAAATCACCACCTCTTCAGTTAATGAAAGGCTAGTGTGCATTACAAAGAGTGGCGTATGTAAATACATGTTGTTATGAGCCAGCAATAAAGCCAAACCTAGTTAGGATGGTTCTAGCAAACTCCCAGGAAGAGACAGACCCTACCAGAGAAAGGGGGTCTTCTCTAATACGAGTTTAAGGGCTGGATGTTAGCTCAGACAAAAAACTCCCCAAACCCAACAAAACAAAAAAATACCACCCACAAACCAAAACAACAACAAACCCCCCAAATTTGGAAAAAGAGGCTTTCCTTTAAAAGTCATAAAGAAGTTATGTAGAACTATAAAAGGAAAAGATACATACCCACCACTCTTGGTCCTCTTCACCAGTTACAATAATTACTTCTCCTTCAACAAACGTGAGCTCATCATCATTATCTGCTTGACAGTCATAAATGGTCTTCACTCGTCTAACTTTGTTTTTCCCCTAAAAACAGAATGAAGTTTTAGATGAAGGACACGAGGAACAACAAAAACATATGTATGATATGAGTTTTGCCTTTTAGTTATATTTTACTTTACAAGATCGTGAAGACTACCAAATGGCTTTCCCTGCAATCGGGGACACAAAATCAAAAAAACCTCTGCTTCAACAAGGATATTAAAAAAAAAAGTTACCTACACAGGTATAGGTTTTCTCTTTCTTAAGATTCAGAACTCCCAAGAGACTTTAACGTGTGGTGCACAGCTCAAATAACCTACGCTTCCTCCAGTAAAGAAAGTTTAAATAAGATCTTTACATTGTTCCAGTCCACAAACATCCTCTTTCTCCTTTAATACATACTTCATTAAAAAAACCACCATGAACAGAAAGTGAAATCCGATCTCCTCTGAATGTTACAAGAGAGGTAAGGGCTGAGGAAAATGTTGCACTGAAATCCAAATATTCCTTACAGTTTTGGGTTTGGATCTAATGCAAAATTACAGCATTCCTTTGATTTCAGATCTGCTTATAGGACTGGAAGTTATTTTTTCAATGATTTTTCATCCAATATGTTAGCAATTTCTTACTAAAAGAATCTTAATTTCAGATGGCAGTACTATTTTGTGATGATAATTCACAATAGATATTCTCACAGCCCTACCATTCAGCGTCCAAGTATTTTCTAGGTCATACTTTGCTGCATACTGCTAATTCATACGAAAAAGCCTGAGCCATGGACTCCTCCCCGAACACATGTTTCTCACGGCAGGGAAAATGCTTTAAATTATTTCCAAATAGAGTAGGGAAGCAATATTCACAGAAAAACACTCCTGCTACTTTATATTCCTGTATTTTCATACCCACACTTCTTCAAAAACTACAGTTCCTTCTTTGAACAGAAGTAGTCAGATAATAAGAATGCAAAAAACTAAGAGCACAAGGAGATGAGAAGCAGAAGGGCTACGAAGGAAAAGTCAGCAGGTTTAGAGGAATTTGAGCCAAAAGTAACTTCACAGAGGAAATTTCCTAGGGAGCCTTTCTCTTTGCTGTTACCTACCCACTTGAAATACCTCCATGTTTTGGCAAAAAAAATTCCCTGCAGATCAACAGCAGAACAGACACACAGCAAAGAGCACTCATACTAAACTCAAGGTACAGAAAAATAACAATTATAGAGGGATCTAAGGGACAAAGCAGTTAACAACATAAGATTAAAAAAACCCCCATACTCAAGACAAATGAACAGAAATACCTGAAGTGAAGTTCATACGAGATCAAAGTTTTTTTTACAGCAAGGGTTTTCTGCAGCAAGAAGTTACTTCAAAGAATGCTTTCTCTCTTTTTTAAACAAATTCATATAATTTGAACAAAAATCTCAAATATCACTGGGGATTGGAATTCAATATTAATGGGTATTTGGGGCCAGTCCCAGCTTTCAACTCCAGAGAACCTTTACAAACTAAGGACGCTTCCAATCAACCCTCCGGTAATGAAGGGAAGCAACTACTTCTGCCAGATAAAAATTGTCTCATTCAATAAAGAGACCAACGAAAGTTAAATTCCTCTAAACTTAAGAGTATTGTATGCAACTCAGTTTGTAAGAACACATGAAAAATGATGGCAATTGCTCCTAGTTCTTTCTGATTAGTACCGCAGATGACATTTTAATATTCTATTCCTTTCACTTAGGAGACCGGTAAAAGGGAGAATTCAAGCCCGAGGTGTATTTAATCTTGGGAAAGTTTAAAAAAAAAGGATGGATCTGAAGAGAGTATATATTTTCCAGGACACAGTTTGGGACACTGGTGTGTTAAGAAATAGAAGCAATTCCAGGACATGTCAATTGTGACTATAAAACAAATACCACCCACCCTACTCCCAACTCCTTGTATCCGATATTAGTACTTATTAAGAGACTTTCATGCTTAAGACTGAATAATAATCAGCTGCTGTCGTCATTACTAATCCCTCCATGTTCTTATTTACATTCAACATTTTTTTTGTTTAAAAAAAATATTTTGTCTCCTTTATAGAAAACACACACACACACAAAAGAACACTCAAGTGCTCAGTGTGATTTTAGAAGCACTCAGAGCAAGTTTCATTTCTCTAAAAATATCCTTTCAACTCCTTATATGTTAACAGCATCGGTATTTTTCACCTAACAATTCCGACCAATTGATTTTCTAAAACTTCCAAGAAAAAACATTTGTGCCTATCTATTTAGTGGCTAAACAGTCAAAACCAAGAGTGAAGTACCCACAAGTACTAGTGGCTGCTGTCACGGCTCTTACTGTTGCGCTGTGAGGTAGCGTTTCACCAGTTTGTGCGAAGAGGATATAGCCAGAGGATGAAAACGGAGGCAAGACACATTTAAGAGGAATTCCTGCACATTATTACTTGAGCCAAAAAGACTGCAGTGAACAAGAGATACACGTGTGCAGGCAATGACGTGTAGAAAACTGGAAAGTAATTATCACAGATACATCATAATTTTGATCATTGCAAAACAGTGGAACTATTTAATTTAGTGCATATGTGAAAATGGCTGAATTTGGAGAACACCGAATTTTTCCTCAGAATTTTTCTGTATAAATTTAGGTGAGAGTTAAAAAAAAAATCAAACCAAAAAACAACTAATCCACTATTTGCTTTCTTTCCTTCTTTAATAAAGTGAAAAATAGCTGAGAATGTCCAGCATCATTTGCCTGCTTATATTTAAAAGGACGTAAGTAAACAAATCATAGTTGCAGACACCTTTTGATCAGATCCCTGTACTATTTTATTTAACCTCCAGAACACTCAGGAAGCCCAAGCAACAACCCTGTCATTCTCAGTTCAGGTAGGAGCTTACAAGACAAGTCCATGACAGAAGCCAAGCAGAGGGATGGCTCCAGAGAAAGAGTGTTCTTCCTCAGACAAGCACAAGAAGGGAGAAACTCACCCTCTGCTTTCACTACAAGAATAGAAGTCTTACTTCCTTTTACGTAAGTGCTTTGCATAGCCAATTTGACAAGGAAAACCATCTCCTTTTTGATGTATTCTTAATGATGAAAATCTTGAGCGTGTTCTGGAGTTTCTAAAAATGATTTCAATATACATATGCATGAAGAATCCTCTGTTGGACGGAAGTTGCACTGGTTAGCAAGATGAACAGCAAGATGAATTGGGGGTTGAACAAGGAGACTTGGAATTGAGTTATAGTTCCAGCTCTGCTACTACACACCATCCAGCAATGTCAATTCTGCCACTTCAATAATACATCTGAACCTTTGTTAATCACTTAAGTACATCGACACTAAATACAACAGGAACACTTAACTAGTTTGTCACAGTTGACTTGACTTTAAATTTTTTATCTACTGACAATAGGTGCTAACATCCCTTCTTAAAGCTTACGAAAATCAGATATATAATTATCCTAGTAATCTAAGGCATACAAAGCAGTGAGCAAAGACAGCAGAGAAAACCACCAATTAATTCAGAATTATGACTGGCACAGATAAAAATGCCCAAGTTCCCTAATAAATCTAAATACACTGTCATGCTCCCAAGGCTATCGCTATCGTTTATGGTACTAGTATTTGTTTCAGCATGCAAGAGGCCTTGTAAACCCCCAGCATTTGCTGAAGCTGCTTGGGAGCAGAAAAAGAGCACCTCATTCCCCATCCTAGACCGTAACGTTATGTTGCTATGTGTGCATAGCTCAAGGGTGGGGTTTTGGTTTTTTTTCCACTGATAGTCCTACAGTAACTTCAAAGCCTTCCACAGATACTCTCAACTAGCTGGAATAATACCTACCATATTTATTTTCCTGGGAAGTGGCACAGGGGTTTCTGGCAGGGTATGTGTTATGTCATTAGACTCTTCAGATGCTTGCCTTTGGACGGTGTCTCTAGATTGTACGTTTGGAGAAAGATCTAAGGAGTGAGATTTTTGATTTGCCTCTGAGGGCTGAGGCTTCGGTGATGCTTCTCCACCTTGAGTTTTAGCCAACAGCTCTCCTAGCTGAGGTTTTGGAGGAAGGTCCTTCATTTGTGGCTTTGGAGGTAAGTCTCCAAGTTGTGGTTTTGGTGGCAAGTCTCCTAGCTGAGGCTTTGGGGGTAGTTCTCCAGGCTTTGGGGGTAAATCTCCCACTTGAGGTTTCTGAGTTAATTCCAGAGGCAGAGGCTTTGGGGGCAAGTCTCCAGGTTGTGGTTTCTGTGGTATATCGATGGACAGTGAGGGCTTCTGAAAGATTTCCGTGTGCTGATGGGATTTATCTATTGAAAGATGATGACTGGTTTCTATTTTTCTTAGTGCCACTAAAACAAAAGAGCATAACAGTGTTTTTTCACAATCTCATCTTAATATTAAAGAACTTAGGCACATATCAGAACTGTAATTGTGTAATGACCACATGTTCACTGAGCCCCGATAACTGTCCATATGTCCTCCTAGTCTATGACAAATGCAAAGTAATACATCTTTACTTAACCCTCTTTTACTGAGGTCTCATTTCATTGCTCCTACTGGAGGCCAGGAGTGCTTAATCCAACAGCTACTAGGTGTCAATTTATAGATTAAGTACTTAGGGTGAAATAAAGCCATTGCTTTTTGGACCTAAACCAAAAAACAATAAATATAAGAAAAGATGTATTTTGCAAAACAACCTATCAACCCACTGATGTGGCTGCAATGAAAATTGTCTTTAATGCCAATTATTCATCTATACAGTTGAACTCCATAAAAAAACCCAAAACAAACGCCGAGTCTCAGGATTAGTACCTGTAAAATCTTAAAGAAGAGAGCGAGTGAGCATGTATGTCTATACACGGTATTATAGACATTCAAACTACAACTAATAAAAAATAAATTATTGTAAATACTTACAATTTAGTAAAGATGAGGAATTTTAAAACAGCATATTTTGCAGTTTTTATGGAAGGAAATTGAAAACAGCTTTTCAAACAGCTTTTTCTCAGTGTCAAGCATTGATTCTACTGCTAAGTTCCCTAAGAAAACTTGACTGAAATCTACGTTAAAAACAAAACCAAACCAACACAAAAAAAAACCCCAAACTCCTAAACCAAACAACTCTATATTAGAGCAGATGAAAGGGGACAGGAGAGAAAAATGTTACGACCCAAAATGAAAGCAATACATTTTGACTAGAAAAAGTAATTTGCTATTGTATTCAGCATTGCTTTAGTATCATATAATACCAGCCAAAAAGGTGACCTGACATTTTACTACAAAAGCAACAATACTCGCTCTAGATATCACCTACTGCAATAACAGTTCCATGCTATATTTATGGTTATTTATACCAAAAAAGGAAAACTTTGCATAATTTCCATGAAAGAAATTGTATAGCTACTATCAGATGCCTCGTTTTAAAAAAATGTCTGTGTTGATACTTGTATATGGCTTTGTCTCCTAGACTTTTCTAGTAGCAAATGTACAAGCACTCATCATCCACATTGGTTCAAGGCTTAAGTAAATTATATGAAAAAAATGATAGTAGCCCTTATCAAAATGTTTTGATTGAACCCATCTTAAATTTTCACCTATATCATTTTAAATCAAGGAAGTGTTGACTTCCTTCACAGCGGTACCCTATCACATCATTGGTGTCTCTTTCAAAAGATGATACCATGTCATAATAATTATAATTTAATAAAGTTGAAATTTCACATTTGCATTTTCTGTTAAAGTGATTTGCACTCTCAATTTCAGTCATCTAGCTTCAGAAGTTTGGACAGGCATCATTTCCTGATCTTCAGGCTCCATAGTGACCACCCACTCATACAGAATCCGTCAAAAATACATTACATCTGTATCAGACAGAGCTACAAGGTAGGTCTACTTTCAACTTTATAGTCAACTGTTGCAAGAACTCAAAAAACTATATAAAACCTGCCATACGACTAGAAAAAAACATTTCTAAAAAGAAAGGGCCATAAGGTGTTCACTGGGATGATGGTCTCAGCAAGTTCGTCACCAATATGTAAGCGAGCATGTAACAGTACCTGATTCTTTTCAAAATATTTATAAGGACAACAACCCTGATCACCAAAACATGGCAATGGACACAACTTACTTCAAGGGTATCAAGAAATTGGACTTATGGATATTAGGAAGAAGAAAGAGTTTACCAACGAGAGCGGTCAAAGAAACGGGAGCCCAGAGGGGTTATCCATGGAGATACTCAAAACGCGACTGCACATGGCCTTGACCAACCTGCTCTCATGTCAAAAAGTTATCCCTGCTCTGAGTGGTGGATTGGACCAGCTGATCTCCTGAGGTCTTGTCCAGCTTCAGTAAGTTAATGATTTTTTTTCTTTCCTCCTTATGTTCCATAGGTCTAACTATTTTTTAGTTTAATAAAACGTTTCCCGATCTTCCAAAATCCTTTCAGTTTTGCTGAAGTGTCATGGTTTGCGACATTTTAGAAATGAAACTTTTGCTGAAAAGATCCATATATTTAAAACAAGTATCTACTTTCACACACACTTAAAAGATATCATTATGAGAATACCCACAAAGAGAACTCTTACCTTTTTGAGGTAGTTTGGGAAGAACTCTAGGGCCAAGTGCAGTCTTTGCAGTCCCAGTGCTAAATCAACAGATGTGAATTATTAGTGCTTACAACTGTTATAAGAGATACTTTTTCTTTCCCATTTTTCCCCTCTACACATCCATAATTTAAAAAAAAAAAATAAAATACACATTTATTTTGCTTCTTTTGTATAACCATCTTAACTGTGGATCAATCCCAAAACTCAAAGCACTGTTAAGATTGAACTGCTTTTTTCAGAGAAAAAGACATACAAACCCCACACAGCTTTAACGCTACAGGGCAGATTTATTCTACGAACTACGGTATGTGCAAAAATGTACTCTGAAAATAGGTGAAGCTGAAAGACCAGCTCAGTGGGCAGATCCTGAATAAGGAAAATTTGGTCTTCAAAATAATTATACTGAAGCATTCAAAACATAATCTGTCCTTTACGTCAGTGGTTTGAAGTTTCCAGGATTGAGCTTATGCCTTGTAGCCTACTGCACGAGTATGATACTGTATACACACAAACTGCAGCTGCACTAGGAGACAAAGTCTCTACTACTCCAAGGAAATACTGATGACTGTGGGAAAACGACATGCTTTACTCTGTCAGCCTGTGTTACAGCTGTGTTAGCTACTTGTAGTGGTAAGCAACATTTCAAAATGAGTATGATGAAACACTTATCTTGATTTCCTAGCTTTTTTTAAATAGTCAAAATATATCATGACACAAAACTGAAAGAACAGCCAAGCTCAATCTTGATTCAATAAATAATTGCCTCGGCCTTTATCTAATGCCATCAAGCACAAGTACCACACTTTTACCTTTGTCTTACAAGTATCAAGCACGGCACCACTTTTTCCCTGAATACCCAGTGCCACCTGGATGGATTCAGCAAACATGGCAAGTCAGCTGTGCTACCAACAACACACGTCTGCTGCCTGTCCTGACAAGGCAGATCACAGACTAAGAAGTGTCTAGAAACTCTACCTACACATCTTCTACTGTGATTTGTTTGACGTTACACATCCATCTCCAGTCATGGCCTGATCACGCACACTTGTGGTCATGCAAGGTCTCCGTTGTGTTGCCCGAGGCACATGTTTATTAGAATTACCACGCTTTGAACCTCAGGACCTTGGAATCACAACACAGATAAAGGAGTAACAAACACTAAGTGACAGGAATGTATGGCTATCCTTACTACTTCAGCTATTGAAAAAGACATTTGTAATGTACTGACCTGATGAACTATGAGCTAAAAGCAGTTTGTGTTATTACAGACTGTGTGTCAGCACACAAGCTCGACAGACTGGAAAACAGTTAAGCTGAAAGACTGAGATGGATTCTCTCTCTTGTAGAGCTATCTTCAATGCCAGCCTGTACCCAGAGTGACACTTCTGAAGCTACAGGCATGAGACCTCAGACTGAAGCAGATAAAATGAAATGCCAGGAGACGTGAAAATAAAACTTTTGTCCTGCTGGACAGTCTGAGGCAACATTCCCCAGCTCAGAGAGCACTTCTGTAGGAGCGGTAGATAGATTCTGGTACAAGTTGCTCTGTCCATCCTGCTCAAAGGATGAATTGTGTAGGGACAGCTATGAACAAAGTGTAGGAGGCTCAATGAAGCCAAAGTATTTGTATGGTACTAAGGCATGCAGAAAACTAATGAAGAAACATAGCTAGGATTTTACTTCATATGAAGGGCATTTTTTTTCTAATTTGTAAATTAGTTACGTTTAGATAAATTTTCATCTTTGCCTTTATATACAGACTTTACCTTGACTGCTGAGACATCCCCTCAAACTTATTTGCAGCCTTAGTTGAAGGTGGGCCCAAATCATTACCTGAGGTGAAAAAAAGCACAATTAAAAAAAAAAAGATCATTAGGATAACTGAAATATAATCAGCAGAGGGTGCAACTTAAAGAGAAGTACACATTCTTCCAAGTATCCTCTGTACAACATGTCTAAAGATTTTAAAGATCATTCTTTGTTAATAATTTTGTAACTGAAAAAGCAGCAGGGACCATAATAATCCAACCTGACCTTTCATATAACACATTTTGAAACAACTCAGCTCACATCTGCTGGCAAGGAAAGATTGAAGGACATTGCTGAGTTACTGCTGTAGGGCGTTTGTTTTGAATATAGTGTTTCAATTTTCTCTGAATCGAAGGAGATACTGCAGGCCAGTATCAAATAAATTTATCGCAGACGTTTACGTTTTGCGTTACGAGGCACATCTTTTTAAAACCACCATGAATTTGATTGTATTCACAAAACATCAAGTTTCTCAGGATTGGTATTTCATCCTACATGAAGAACAGCCTTTGCTGATTTAATGACTAAGTCAGTATGTTACCATAACCTGAATGTTAACTGTTGGTAAAGAAGAGATCCTGGGTATACTCGATTCTGTCAAAAGGCAGCAAAATCCAAACCCAAATGCTTTTGAACTCCTTCAGCAGAAGGCTCCTCTTTCATTAACCGTCACCACTGCCAAGGTACAACCATACTAACTACTTCATTTTAGTGCCTTTATCATTCCCCCTTACCTCTTCTATTACAGCATGTCTAAACAATCTTAGAACCAACTTTGACAACCATTAGTAAATTTGTCACTGAAAGAGATGTAAAGTGACATTTAACGATCCCAGAACACAAAATACTTCCCATGCAAAAGAATGACATATCTCCCTAGACACCATTCTTAGTGAAGTCTATACGAAACAGCAGAAAAGGCTCATGCTGAGACTTGCTAAAAGTATGTTTATGTTTAAAAGTTGGGGAAAAAAAAAGAAAAAGAAAGGTAAAACAAACAGCAAACCCTTCACATGTAGATCCTATGGATAAAGCAAGGAAAAATATCTCATGGTTGCTATGGAAATCCAAAATAATCTAAACGACATTTTTAGAACATCTTTGAATAGTAACTTAATTCGCTTAGACATAAGCTAAGGATTGTTCTGCTTGAAACTTCAATTAACACACAGATTAGAAAACAAACGCTGAAGTTCAACGTAACAAGAAATATGATAACACAGAAAAAAGCTTCTGAAAGGGAAAGCAGTGAACATCCAACAATATTCTTAAACCAAAAACACGAAGGCAGACACAAGAAACTCCCTCTTCTATAAACACAAAACTTAACACTTGCTTAAAATTCAAATGGACTTTGAAATAAGTTTTTGTACAGATCTCAGCTAAGAAAAAGGGGAGAAGAGGCCCCTCTTCCATCCACTGAAGTTCAGTCTGCACTGTAGAGCAGAAAAGAGACAGAATAAGCAATGTTCTTCTCTGGCCCTGCTTTGAAAAGCTATTCTACTGCTATAAGGTTCTTCACCTTCACACCTGCACCTTTCCCAGATTTTCCTTTTCCTTCATCCGTTGTCTAGTATTTTTAAAGAAAAGTTGGCACTAGCTTAGCATCTATTCCTATCACACTTTTCATTCTACTAGTGTTACATTATATAGTATTCCAGTATACGGTATTTTAGGTGCTGTTTTGGACTTAATATTTGGGCTTTTTTAAATTTTTGAAGGCCAAGCTCTTCAAAATGTCTTTACTACCTCTGAAATAGTACAGGGCTGTTAAGACTCCAGAACATAGGAAACATTTTTTCCATATCCCAGACATCTGAAAAGTAGAGAACTGAAAAGATTGCCATTATTTGTATTCCTTGAGAAAAAGACTTTGCTTTTCAATTGGACTCTGTACTTCTCTTCATATTAAATCCTAGATTAAATCACATATTCTACACGAGTACTCCATGATTTACCACATTTAACTCCATTTGCTGGGAAAAAACGGTGCTTGCAATTATTTTTTAGGCTAGTAAGTCTGTGTTTATATTAGAACAGAGAGAGGATACTCCTGAGATATAGGTAGTGTGTGGATGATCCCCCTATGTAAGCACTGGATTCCAGCTCAAAAGTTTACAGATTTATGGAAATCCTGCCACCAAGATGAAAATTATAGAAAGTTACATGAGTCTGAGATTTATAGCTACTGGGAGAGGCTGACCACATAGAGCAATGTTTATTGAAAAGAGGAAGAATTTGAGTAGCTTGGAAAATAGTTTCTAAAAAGCTTCTGTCAGAAAGGTATCCTGTTAAAAAAAAAAAAGTGCTGTTTCTGTATAACTTCTGCAGGTAGAAGGATGCAAACCTATCAGTCTTTGTATATGTACAGACAACATCACAAAACCCAAAAACATGTTAAGACAACACATCCCCACCAGCTAGGTACAAACACTTTACAGGAGAGTTTGGCATAGAGCCCAAGGAAAACAGCTGTTCTGGCAATCAGGAGAACCACACATATTCATCGAGGTCTATCCGCCCCGAATCAAGATCCATCTGGATTAAGGAGCTGGTCAGAACAGGAGCAGGAGTGAGGAAGCAGATGCAGCGTAGATGCAGCAGATGAGAGGGCCGGGGCGAGGGCAGCCTGGGCAGCTAGGGTAGAGAGAGGGAGGCAGCAAAGGAGATTGAATTGGGCCCCAGGGGAGCGTGGAATATTTTCAGTTTTCTCAAGTGAGACTCAGATACAGAAGCCTGGAAGCTAGAGTGACAGAAGACAGAACTGTTGATTTATCTGAGCTGACGTTACATCAAGCTGCAATCGTTGGAAAGCAAGCACTAGGTAAAAAGAAACCAAAGATCATATATCATCCATCATAAAGGTTTTCCCCTGCCCTTTTGTTTTGCATTTCAAAACTCACCCCAAGGAATTGGGCCCTTATTCTGGGGTCCATGAGGTAGTGGGCTTGGTGGGTCAGAGAGGGTTCTTTTGTGTCCTGGGGGTGGGGGAGGTGGTCTCTTCTTGGAAAGAGTGGAGCTGCCACTAGAGGTTTGAGTGCTTAGAGGGAGGGTTGAAGGTGGGCCTGCAAAATAACAAACAATCCTCTTACAAATACATGTGCATAAACGTCAAAGCAGCACTGAAAAATTCACAGTCAGACCCACAGCAAAGTGCAGCAAAAGACTAAAATAAAGAGACAAGCCATGCCAAAACACTGTTTAGATTAAACGACACGTTCACCACATTTTTAACCATCTTAGCCGTGGGAATATAAGCAACTTGACAATAGAATGACACGTGTACTTATGTTTAAAAAATACAGGATTAATCACTCCAGGATTTTTAATTTTAGGCATCGTTTAAAAAAAAAAAAGCATGAAATCTTAAAATTAAGTAATATTTAGCATGTGGGACTAAAATTACTATTAATTTATACCAGAATGAAATAACTTTCTAGATGTTCTATTATGTGGGGATTTTTTTGTTTTCCCCCTCCAGAGCATCCCATACGAATTCTGTTAATAAACATGGGGGGGGAGGGGGGATAGAAATCTATCTACAGATTTTCCTTGCATTTTGAAAATAGGATTGTAAGCTTAGTAAGTTTTTCTGTAGTTATTTTCCCTTTTTTCCTGTGGCTTAAATACATCAGACTATGCATTTTCAGAGCAATGCAAATTGTTTTATGCAGTGCATATAAAATAAACATCAGAAAAGCTCTTTCTGAGGCTGAGATTAGATATTTAAAGGTAGCTTATTTATAAGCTTATAAGAGCTTATGCAGTCACCCCTACCCTTAAACCCTTTATTTCCCCTTGCATCAATGATGGCACAAGTATTATTCAACACAATGCATGTTTGACAGGATATGGGAACAGATACAGATTAAAAGACAAAATAACCCAGAGGGAAGACAAGAGTTTTCCCTAATCAACTTCACCATTCACCTTTAACAAGAAGCTCACGGAAGCAGGCAGTGCAGGGCGCAAACATGCAGCGAGGGGACAACTGCTCAAGTCAGCTTCCATTACTGCCAAAAGAAATTACTTGTAACACTTATCTAAATTAGTTCTACATTAGGTTAGAATAGCTTTAAGGGTTTTGTTGTTGGGGTTTGGAGTTTTTTGTTGGTTTTTTCCTTTGCTTTTTTTGTTGGGTTTGTTTGTTTTTTAATCTAAGCAATAAATAACACTTCACTGCAGTCATGATCTTGCAATAAGTTTTGCATGTAAGAGAGCTTTGCCATCACAGGCTCTGGATAAATGCAGAAAATCGACATAAAATTTTAAAAGTTTATTTATACCTGAAATTTCAAGTCTATCGTCACATATTTTGGTAGCACTATAGAACCAACTTGCCTGTTTTTGAAAACCTAACTTATTTGAACAGTATTTGAGACAAAAATCTTCATTTTCTTATTCAGCATATACCCTAACCTGCACACAGAACTAGACCTGCCTCTTTAAAAATATTTATTACCAGTCTCTATACGCAGACTGAAAATTACCAAAGGAATTTGGCATTCCTTCCCAAATTACTATATATCATAAAAGTATTAAAACCAGTGAAGAATAATCTTAGCTAAAATTCCTTAGGTGAAATATTAAACATTGAAAAAAGTAACTTCAATTATCCTATAACCATGTGTACATTTGCCAGATATTTTCAGCAGGTGACCTCCCTCTTTCTTCTTAACCCCAAAGAAAAGATTAATAAAACTGCCCATAATGAGTTAATGATTCAATCTGTTCTCTTCCAGATTCAAGCCTGGAAGGCCTTTTGCTGCTCAGGAGAATCTCTCAACCACAACCCCAGCAGGTATTTTGGGCCTGGCTTTCCATTAATTGCTTACTCTTATAAATGAAATTATATATTTTGCGATTGTTCCTCTCAAATTGCTTCCAAGTTCACAAAACCGTTAATTGGCAAGCAGTCAAATGTTAGTGCAAATTAACAAGATTGTTCCCCAATGTGTATCCTTGCTCATTTTAATTTCTTCCATCAGCTTAAGAAAGCAAGCTAATTTGAACCACGCATTGAAATGTTTCTGCCAGCAAAAATAAAAAACTTTTCCTATGCTAAGTTTTGACTGACGATCCCCTACGCTTCTGCAAGTTATCAGTTCTTTAGTTTGGTTAAATACGAATCAAAGGTTGTTCTATAAACCGTAAGTAACTCAGAGTATATCTAGGAGTGGCGAGGGGGAAAGAAAAATTCAATATGCAGTGTGAACAGTAACATTATTTTTAAAGCATGTAGAAGACATACACAGTATGTCACTACAATATTTTTCTCTTGTCCTGACATCTCGAAAAGGAGTTACACCCTCCCAAAATGTCTGCAAGGGGGAACGGCCAACACGGCACAGGTTCTGTCCTACCACCACCTAGTGTCCTGCTGTTTGTACTGCAGGACAGCCTTACCGCTCAACGCTAACGCGGGCTCCAGCCCCGCCGCAAACGGGGGCTTAAGGGGAAAAAAAAGGGGAGGAAATGCATTGAAATAGTCTTGCGCGCATATTGCAAAAAGAAAACTTCAGACATGAAGTTAAATTTGGACTTTTTATTGCCAATGAAATGAAGAATCCTTCTCTACGAAAATAACGTATAGTAGGATTAAAACCTCTTTAAAATTGGTTATGTGGATATATTTCATATTTCACACTAGTAGTATATATATCTCCAGACATCACAGAAGAGTTGAAAAACATTGTCACTTCATAGCTTTCAAAAGTTCACACGGCATACAACAGTTAGAGGGAAAAGGTGTTAAGCTATTAAAAACAGTGCACCTTTTCAGACTCCTGTCATTTGTTCCTATATTAATTTCATGGAAGGAATAAATATGAATTTAGAAGTCATACACTAATGATTAGATGGCTGAGATACAAAATAACTCACTTTCAAATAAACAGAAAATAAAGGAAAACTTCAAAACACCTTTTCAGAAAGGGGTATAAAGTCACATCACGCTTTGAATAAAGCAAACGTGGGAAAGATTCTGGAATCTAAATCAGCTTATGGAAACAACTGGTGGACAAAGATCTGATGATGTACAAAGTATCGGTAAAATTATTATAAGATACTTTGTATTACATATATATATACACACACACACAAAATCTAAAAAAAAAATCTTACATGGTATTTTTAACTATGTAAGGCTAGCCAGGTATTTCTAAGTAATAATCAGAGCAGCTATTTTTCTAGATGAAAGCTATTTTGTGATTTTAACCAGGCAGCAAGTAAGCCAACTGTTTCTTCTCCACAGTCATCTTAATGGCGATTTCTCGCATAGTTGCGAAGTTCACATTTCACGTAAATCATTTTCCTCACGCAAGCAAAAGAAAAAAAAAAATCTTGACCTAGATTTTTTTTAAATTTTGCTTCCGTTGGGCTCTTTTCTTCAGTTAGCTGGGGAGCAGTTGCTTTCAGTAAAGCTGTTGTCATCTTTTATCACTTTTTCTTATTACAAGGATCACGCTTTCATGTGCAAATAGACCAAATAATCTCAAATTTATTGTACTAAGGTAAATAACTGGAAAAGGTCTGCAATTAATAGTGCATTGCCCTTCAGCTTTTGTGCAGTTAGTATAGTACCTTATTAATTTGTGTACTTGTGAAACCATGCAAAGCTGTTACCATCCACGCAAGAAATGGTGGGTTTAGAGTGTAAAAACCTCACATTTGTATTTATTTTTTACCACTTAATGAGAGATATGGATTAACCAGTGTTCCAGTTAATGGCAGAACAGGTACTGTAAAGGAAAGTAAGTGTATATTAAAAATAGTATTTTCATTAGAGTGTTGTTATACTTATTTTTATTGTTCTTATGAGTGACATTTTTGCAGATATTACTAAAAGACTTCTTCAGTTTGTCTTACTTCAGATCATATATTTTCAGTACTAAAAATAAGACCATAATTAAAGAAAAAAATTATCACAATCACGCTGAACAAGAAAGCTAAGAATATACATTGATTCAACATTAGCATCTGAAGTTTATTCTGTAATTAATGCTAAAAAAATTCCTGTTTAAAAAAAGAGTCAAAATTTATATTAAAGAATGTTGTATTTTGGGTTGATGCACAAATATAAAAAGCCCCATATGAAATCAATAGTTGTCAGCCTTCCCTTCCTATTACAGTACTAAAAAAAGTAGTTTGAGTGGGATAACTAGTATTATTTAACCAAAATGTACAACACGCTTAAAGACTTAATTTTTAAAATATTCTTATAAATATATGCAAGAGAGCCGTAGAGTCCTGAAAGCATTCAAAATAAACAGAAGAAACTGGATGACCTTAAAGGCTGAGGTAACAGAAATGAGATTAAATACAACAGTATATACAATGTTGAAATTCTAGACTAAGAAAGCATTTGTACTTCAAATTAGGGATTCCGGTTGAAAGTGGTAGTAAAGACTACCTGTGTAATGCCTGATAGGCCATAGTATGGTGCAATCATGAAAAAATAAATAGGATGAAAAGATATTCTGATATAGTATTTCCAGCTGAAACAGCAAGGTTTTAATGCTGTCCCTACACTTCCAGTCACTTATATTTAAGAAAGCTGATTTAAACAGCAAAGGTACAGAGAAGGGCTAGTATGATGAAAGGACAACTTAAACAACAGGAGAATGAAAATACTCTACCAGAAAAGGTGAAATATGCTTGGTTTGTTTAGTCTAACAAAACAGAAACGGAGACCTGAATGATTGCTCTCCAGGTAGTGCCTTGATACGGACACCAGTGACAGAAAAATCACTGAAGCTAAATGACAATGTTGGTACATGAACAAAGTAATTTAGTGGACTTGAAAAGTTTTCTAATCCTGTGAGCAATGCAGTCAGACAACTTCTAGAAGTTATTAGTAAATGCAAATAAGCTAATTTGGTTAGAAATTGAGTCTGATCAAGTGAAGAAGCAGATTATATGACATGGTGTCTGCAGTAACAGTGGACTGCAACCACGAAGGAAGTGCCTTTGCATTTATGTACCTAACAATAGAGGTGTGAAAGAGAGTGTAAAATATGCAAACTTGTAAGTACTGAAGATCCAAACGTAACTTCATGACATAAAATTGATCCCCGACCTCCGTATTCATCCCGTATGAGAGAAATAGGCAGAACCATTAAAAATCAATTAGCTTTCAGCTAAAATTAAGGAAACCTGGCTTAGATTGCCTAACACTTCTACAAAACTGGTTAGCAACATTGCCCTCACATTGGATTTGCAATTAAGGTTGTGCAAAAGTTTATTTAGCTACTGTGCTGAGTCATGCAACTACTTAAATGTTGATTTTTTTTTTTTTTTTAAAGCTTTTTGTAAAACAACAGGCAGAAAATCTGCTATATGTCTGGAGCCATAATGCAGGTGTAAGCTGGAAAGACTAATGAAAAAGATGATTTTCAGAATGTTGCAGACTAAAGACGTGACTGACAACACAAGTAAGTTGAACCTGAATAAGGTTAGATAAACTACTGGAAAAGGCATACAGTGGTTGTCTTACACAGCTACTGTACTCTGTAGAAATACTCTGTACTTTTCATTCTATTAGGATTAACTAGAGCTGTAGCAGAGATGGCAGAAAGCAAGATGGATCCACAAATGAGCTGGTTTAATGTAGAATAACCCTGTCTTAGCCAATATTCATCAGCAGTTCAGGCTCACTCATCAGCCTTTGCACAGAAACAGCCGATATGCAGGCATATCTTTTGCACTGTTGTTGCAGGAACCTTCAGCTTCAGAACTGATAGCAAATACTAACAGAGTAGCAGTAACTTAAAAATCATTACAGCTATCTGCTTTGTGAACATAAATAAGCCCAAAGACAAATCTTGCTCCAGCATTTTTAAGAATTTTTTTGAAAAGTTATCAAACTGGATAATCTGAACTTCCATTATAACGACATATGGAGAAACTTAAAAAAATCCCCATATACATATACTCCAACTGTTGTACCTATACAATTTTTACAATTAAACTAATTTTTAGACACCGTATCCACTAAAAACCATGGGCAAAAGTGGTGTGCATTATGTAAATTGCTCTAAACTTACCTTCTTTCCCCAACACAAAGTTCAGACTTGATGGCTTCCACTCCATTGTGGCGTCTCAGCAAACGTGGAACCTTGCTACTAAGGAACTTCACTGGCAAATGAAGCCAGCTTACAGAGGGCTAAAGGGAGGTGTTTTTGTTTAAATACACAACGTGATTTGGAAAAGAGTTACCTGTATGTCTCAGGATGTAAAACCTTATGAAACTTTAAAAACCTCTGCCTCCTTCTAAGATACGGATCCCACCAGCTATCCACTTCCTACAGACTGTCTCCATGTTCTAGGAGGGTCCCATGGTATCTACTGGGGCTTCTCAGCAGAGCAGGGACAAAGATCGGATTACATTTTGGGACAGAAGGTAAGCTTAAATTTAATTACAGATTCAATGCTCTTCTTACTCTTGCTGTTTAGGGAACTTAGCACAATATATAATACTATGTTTTCATACAGTCTTACATCAAATAGGTAGCTATTAAAAATGAACTTTTCTAACAAAAAAAAGCATTTGATAAGTAAGCTTGCACGTTAAACTGATGTAAGGGATATACTCTATTACTACTAATCTCAAAAGAGCAGATACATTCTAAAGGATTATTTTTTCCTACAGAAACAAAATTATCTCAGACTGCTTCAAAATTAAGATGTGTCACCAGTGTCTTATGGAAGTGGAGAGTCTCCGCTTCTTTTTCTTTTAAACCATCTGTTCGGGAGCTGGAAGTGGGGGAGATAACAAGGTGTAGCACAGTTTATAATGAAGTATAAGTACATCTACAATGATGCTTCTTGAGTGACTTTTCCACACTGATGAATGTCCTATGTATTTGTCACTTTGTTCCCCTGTCATTTTGAGTCTGTTAAATTATTCCTGTAACACAGGTATGTATTTAATGGAAACGTCTAAAACTGAAACGTCTAATGGAAATCAACCAAAAAAGCAGCATCACTCACAGACTGTAAAATTTTGGCATGTTTGAAGCAGAGAAGCCTAGTGACTTTAACGTAACAGTAGCTCCATTCAACCTCTCACTCAGACTTACACTGTGAATCTGGCATTTTCCACTCTGACGAAGTAGTTAATGTTACTATTACCATCAGAAGGCAATAGTTCTCTGTATTTTGTGGTAATATCATATTATTTTGTTGTAATATGAACGAGGATTTCTTTTGCATAATCCTTGACATGAAAACACACAAGAACTCAACGCTTCACTTCTTTCCAAGTAGCTTTGGTGTTGTGTTGATTCACTCATCTGGGAGTTTGCAGAACACCTAGGAAAATGTCTAACATTTCTGAAACTTGAATACATACTTAGAATGAAATACGCATGTAAATATTCCCCTTCCTGGAGAAAAAGACAATTTTCTGAATAAGTCCGTATAAGAGCTACACTATATAATGACAAAGAAATAATGTTCATTATAATCCATTGAAAGCTGACACATACTAAGCAGTCTACAGACAGATACAAGACACAAGCTCCTTAACCTTCTTAAGGAAATGGGATTCATGATTAGTTTCCAAGTCTTGCAACTTTGTGACAAAAAAAAGTTATCCTAGGTCAGACTGAAGGAACATCTAAGCCAGTATACGGTGTCGGACAATGGACAATCAGTAGCTGACTGTTAGACAGAGCATGTAAAAAAGATGGGGGAGAAGAAGGAAAGTTAGAATCTTGTAATGCCAACAGGAAGGTCAACAAAGTTACAAGGAACACAAATGAATCCCCAATGAAACTGATAAAAAGAAACTTGGATTATGAAATCTCATGTGAAAAACACAGACCCCTGCAAAATTGTTTTGCCTCTTAATGGAAAACAAACCTGTTTAAAAAAAGAAAGCCAAGGGATTCATTTGAAAGTTGCCAGTACATGACAAAGACTGATGATGGAACAGTAGTTCTTAAGCACAGCATCTGAACCATGTAAAAGCAGACACCTGATGCCAACACACTCTGTTCTGTCCCTTTTACTCTTTCACATTTTAGTGAGAGCATTTCTTCATTATTTTTTTTAAAACAAATTTAACTACCAGTTGAGGAAATGAAGTATGAAGTTATATCAGTGCTAACAAAAGGGAGCACCAGCATAACTGCTGAAGCCTTAAACTATACTGTAGCCTTCATCACTACTAAAGTTTTCTCTAACAAGTCTACCATAAAAACACAATTTGGCTATTTCTAAATTAAATACGTAAAAAAAGAGGAAAAGATTAAGGTTTTTTTTGTTCTAAAAAGTAGATTTGCACAAATTATAGTAAAGTAACAGGTTTTGTTCCATAAACACATCCTCTAAACTTGAAGTTTATAGCTATCTAGGTCAAAGAACTACCATCCACTACAGCTGCAAGAGTAAGTCTCTCATGGAAACAAGTTATCTTCCCTTTCAAGCACTACCAACAGTGTCACTACTATTGTTAATAAGAAAAAGCATCTCATTCATTTCAACTAAATGTAGATTGCAAAACTGATTGAAATGCAGCACAAGCCTTCCTTATGGATAATCCTACGAGGGCAAACTGGCTGTTTCACTCAGGGAAGAATGGGTGATGTTCAGTTTAGATCTTCAGTGCGTAAGTGACTTGTTAACCATCTGGCAATAGGCCTGGCATTTTCTCTGCTGTTGTTTACACCCCTCTAGCACTCACCAAAATGAGAGAGAGTGTTGATGCACTGAGAGGGAAGGAACTTTAATACCAACCGGCTTAGCACTTCACAGGTCATTCTGGTATTTTTCTTTTTCCACACTGTCTGACTGCAAGGAGAGGCAGTCTTCTTACACCTCCTCGCCTCCAAAGCTTTGTTTCTTCACTCTCTCTGCCAGACACTACACAGCACATCATCGTATAGCACTACGCACCATCAGCCTTTTTCTAAAACACTTGTATTTTTGTGACTGTAAATGCTTAAAAATGCTTCTCCAAAATATGAACAGAATTTCTACATAAAATGAACCAACTGTTATTTAGCAGAGTATTACTTTATTTTTCACCTGTTCGTGCACACTGTTATATGAATGAGTCCATTACAAAGTGTCTGTCCCCCCCCCCTTTTTTTTTTTTAATTTTGAACATGCATTATACCATATTACTGCAATGTAATAAGAAAAACACACTACCTCTTGAAACAATGAAATACACTTGGTTAAAGGAAGGACAACTGTGGAAAAATTACTACTTGCAAGCGTAGTTTGAAGACAGACTTACCTTTGCCAGCATTTCTAGGAGGAAGAGGAGGAGCATCTGCAGTTGGAGAGGTGGGTGAATCTGTGCTTGTAGAAGCAAAGATCTGATTGGTAAAAGCTCCATAGGAGAGTCTTTGCTTGTCTCGAGGAGTGCTAAATGCAGGATGAGTCATTTTGTCTTGGGGAGAAATGCTCGAAGAGTGACAAAAACTTTGGGGTCTTGGAGATCTTTCTTTTTTTATAGGACTAGGCTGTGAATAGAAAAACAAATATATTATACAGCTGTCTAAATACTGAATATAGTTAATATCTTTGGGAAAGAATAACAGAACATATTCTAGTGAACATGAGCATAATTTCTTTCTTTATTGGACAAATAAGCCCACATTCCTCCTTTTCTCAACCATCCAACCTGAATGATCCTCTCCTCTAACTGAAAAATAAAAATTGTAGCATCAACAAATCATCATGTACACAAAGTTAGATTTATTCTTAAAGCAGAAGACATACAACAATAATATACTAAATAATATATTAATAAAAGCCTAGTAAAGTTTTTAGAATATAAGAGTAATTTTCAGTTCAGATAGCTCTTTACTGAGACCAGTTATCCTCAAAGATCAAATATATTACCCCATTGATGCATATTAAAAATAAAATAACCACTTCCGACACATCAGATTTATTTGTTGACTGAACTAGCAATATATTCAGTGGTACATCTCTTCTTTTAAACATATATAATTGCTCTTTGAAGAAATTTTACACAGCAATTTTTGACTGCTGTATATTAATAACTGCATATGGAGCACGATCTGTTTCACTGTAGCTCTGGTTCAGGCAGGGTATTACCTCCAATACAGCATTAGTCATCCTCCCGAGGCTTCTTGCACAGATAATAATTTTGTTCTCTACTGTCCTTGAGGACATGTAAATTATTTCGGTGTCTGAATTTTTCAGTCCCAAGTGTCACTGAATATGAAAAGTTGACCACATTTCTTCCTACAGCACCCGTATAAGATAGGAGAGGTGTATTCACATTTATAACAGAAACAGAGCACAGAGTAATTAACTGACTTGCTAAAGTAGGACACTGAGGCTAAGTTTTCACATGTTCTAGGATGGCAATTATCCTATGCCCTCAAGTTTTGCCTTTTCGTTACTTCTTTTTTTAATCAGGAATAAAGTGCACAGCACAGTTTTTGAAAAATAGAGTTATTTATTCAACAACTAGGTCTTTAATTAATTTATGGAAAAAATAAGTATGTAATCTTTGGATTTCCTCCAGCTAATAATTAACAACCTAGAATTCAGAAGGGGATAAAATGACAAAGTAATCTACATTTACTGATTTATATTATATTGTATGTCTTGTCAAAGCAAAACTTCTGAAACTCAAGTCCATAATAACTAGGTTGACAAAGTGTATTCAAAAAGCACTCTGGCAGTCTTTAATACAGGCCTCAAACCTAGCTTTTTTCCCCAAAAAAATCTGTAAGAAAAAAAAAAGTTAAAGTGGGTCTCTAATTTCCATTCATTTCAACAGAACAGAAATTTTGACAGTTTTTGTCAAAGCCATATCAGTAATTCATGCCTACCTTATCATCTAAGTCATCATCACTTTCATCAATTTCTTCCTGCCGAAGATTCCATTCATACTCTACATGGACGTGTGGGTTTAGCTTTCCTGCCTTGGCTTGAGAAAGCTGAAAGAAATAACAATTCTTGTTAAAATACTTGCTGTTCCTTTGGTGTCAACAAAGTTAGTTTTGTAACAGCAAGCAATAAACTGAAGTATTTAGAGGTTTAAAACTTTTCCAGACATTAAAAAGAAACAATTTCAGGGCAATCACACAAACATCCTTCATTTATTTGAGGTATAGAAAAACAGCTAAAAGGCAAAAAGGGAAGATTTTCTCAAAATGGGTAGAAGTTGCCATGGTTGAAAAGCATTTGAAGAGATGACATCAAGAGAAGGTATATGCACAAAAGCAGAATGCATCTGGAGCCCTCCTTTCCAAAAAGAAAAGGCAAAACTTATTTATAAATTTTGGTACATACAACTATTACCCCACCAAAATCACAATCCTTGTGTTGGAATCAAAATAAAAAGTATCTACCCTTTATTTAAATATTTCCTTCCCTCTCACTGGATGAGGCCAATGTGTCTTAAGCAAAAAATTCCTCTACTTTGCCAGCCCAGATAATGTATTCACATTCTTTAAAGATCTACTACTTCAACGATCAGCAAAAAAAGAAAATTGCAGTTCATGATTATTCTGAAGAGATAAATTCTCCTTCTCAATGCTTAGATTTCCCATCATTGTTTATTCCTTCGCATCCTTTGAAATGTAGTCTACTTGGTACTAGTTGTTTCAGGAGAGCCTTTAACTATCTTCCTGAAATAAAATTTGGAAGAAAAAGTATTTTCAATCTATTTTTTAAGTATTAATGAACCCACTTGAGTTGAAATTGAATTTAATTACACAGACTCCAGCTAGGCAACAGAAATTAGCTTTGTACATCTATCGTATCGCAAGCATCTAGATACTTATTTTGTACTTTTTTATTGCCCATGGTAAACAATATGCTCACTCATATTTCTTTTTTACTCTTAACCTTATCTCATTGCCAGTTTTGAGAAAAATGCAGAAATAATTTTCCTCTTCAGAAATGAAAAGAAGAGAAAAGGCGTAAATGCTCTATTATGGTTAACTGAAATAATCAGTGAGGTATTAGTGGAATTTCAATTACAGTAATTGAAATTATTAACTGCTAGATAAGCTCACTGATAACATCCACTTATTTTTGTTTGTTCTACAGCACAATCAGTTGGTCCACATTAATGGCAGATGTTACTTTACTAAATATATACTGCAAAGAAAAAACCCAATCCATATCAGTTGTGTGTTGTACAGCTAATCTGTTCTTCAGCTGACAGAATACTCAAAACACTGGAAACAGTACTTACACAGCAGACATGGGAGTAGCTGAGAAGTCAATGAGAGTACCACCTTTTCAACCATAGCAAAATGTTGACTTGCATCCCCAGAAATACAGAAAATTATTCTGATTTGTGAAGGACAAGCTCTCTTGATTATGCAATAATTAATACATGACAAGAACTTTCAATTGTCAAAGGAAAGGTATTAAAATTACCAGCTGCAGAGAAAAAGTAGATATCCTCCTTGGATCATCAAAATGAGGCAAAAAAAAATTCTGAGAAATAGAATTAAGCAGCAAGTGACAACTGCTTTGTAAATTCTTCTGGCTTTTGTCTTGAATGTGAAACTGCCACACTACTTAAGACTTTTTAATCCCTTGACAGTACTTAAATTCACTTGCCTACTAAATGCATGCTGGTAAGAGGCACGTTAGAGGGCTAAGAACAAACAAGCTTGTTGGTCTCATGTAAAATCCTTATTCCTGGCTAACTGCTTCAGAAGAGTACCTGGGAAAATCCTTTAACACCTTTATTTCTTGAACTCCAATAATTTTCGTGAGTGGCGTCTGTTAACATCACTCATACATTCTCAAAATTCCAGAAAGTTTTTGCTCTGATCATGTTCAGTAGAGGGACAAAGTCCCACAGAAGCTGGTGTTTTATATTTTCTGATACCCTGTCCTGGTTTCGGCAGGGATAGAGTTAATTTCCTTCCTAGTAGCTGGTACAGTGCTGTGGTTTGGATTTAGGATGAGAATAATGTTGATAACACACCAATGTTTTAGTTGTTGCTGAGTAGTGCTTACACTAGTCAAGGACTTTTCAGCTTCCCATGCTCTACCGACTGGGAAGGCTGGAGGTGCACAAGAAGCTGGGAGGTGGCACAGCCAGGACAGCTGACCCCAACTGGCCAAAGGGACATTCCATACCATGTGACATCATGCTCAGTACATAAACTGAATTATTATTATTATTTTATTTCAATTATTAAACTGTTTTTATCTCAACCCACGAGTTTTTCTCACTTGTGCTCTTCCAATTCTCTCCCCCATCCCACCGGGGTGGGGCGGGGGGGGGGAGTGAGCAAGCAGCTGCGTGGTGCTCAGTTGCCGACTGAGGTTAAACCACGACATACCCTAACTTCCAGACATTACACTTTTGCTTCTTTCTCCTTTGAGGAGGTTTAATTTCAAGTTGTTTCAATTCTCTTTGTAAGAAGACTTTCACCATCTCTGAACTGTCTGTCCCGTTAAATAAACTGGAAAAAGCCAAAGCAGGAAAAGTTAAAGATGCAGACCTAAAAGGTCTTGACAGATTTAATATTTCAGGGGTTGTTTTGTATTCCTGATAGAAATGTCTCTAAGAAGAACTTTTGAGGTGATGAAGCCCAAATGTGCTAGAATGATGCATTAATTAGTATTCAAATACCTGACCCTCCAGTATTTAAGGTCTTCAAATACACTGGTTAAAATAACTAAGTACTTCCAGTAGAAGATAGATCTTTTACTTAAACTGTTACAAAGAAAATGACTGTTGTGTTTTGAAGTTAGAAAATACTCATCTATGGTAGGGCCTTCAGATCAGCATACAGCCAGCCAGCTGGCAGCAGTACCAAGTTTGAGATACAGTGGTAACGATATTCTAAGTAGATCACGTCTTTAAAGAAGTAAACCTCCTCCCCTCTCCAGCCTTTTCACCCCCAGTTCTTACCAGTTCCTCACATTGGACAGCTTTCACTCTTTTTGCTGTGTCCAGAGCTGTCTCTCCAGCTTGGTTTACTACAAAATTAACAATAAAAAAAAAGAGAACGATTCTTTGAGATGTCTAAAGAATCAATTCATTAAGTTTCACTATTTTTAGCAGAGTAAGTTCTAAAAGTGATCAAAAACGTCTATTTACTCTATAGCAGCTGCAGCTCTTTAAGATTCCACTCTAAGTGCTCATGCATTTCATGTATCATCAGGTTCTTTCTGAACAGCAGCATCTGCTGGGACAGTTCCCAAATCCCTCCTAACCATCCTAGCAGAGAATATAAAGATTTAGTCAATCCCTCCTAACCATCCTAGCAGAGAATATAAAGAAATTTAGTCATTTCAATCTTCACTCAACTCCTTTGCCAGTAAAATTCTTACATGAATAAGCAGGAAGAGCAAGCAGACAGGGTAAGATAGCTTAAAAAAGAAAATTATTCTATGATTAAAAAAAAAAAGGCAAATGTTGATCCAGGCATCTTTTACTTTGATTAATACATAGTGGTTTGAAGCCCAAATTTGAAGACAGAAGTCCTATTCTAAGATGACATCTGAACAAGAATAATTTTAAAACTTTCTAGCTATTTCATCTTTATAAAGGCTATAAAATATTTTACATTTTAAAATAACGCCTGATCAGAAAGAAGGTGATATCTGAGCACTCTAGAAGCTCCTCTGGCACAACATCTAATGGGATCCTTCCTAGATACTCAGTAGCAAGTCTCAAGAAACAAAAACAACTCCCGCACCCCAACTTTACGTGCACAAACCTTAGGTAGAATTTATTCTTACAGTATAGCTGTAAATGCCATGGAGCTGGAACAGAGTATGCTCTACATCGTATCTAGATTGTAAAGGATTTCTGTGATTGGGAACTGAAAACAGTTAAACTGAGGTCTCATACGTAAATTTGACTATGTGAAATATTACATATAGACTGTCAGTCATGAATTTACAAAATACAAAGCAGTCATCTAGGAAGGCCTATGAATTTGAAAGAATTAAGAACCCTAGAGGGAGGGCTCCTTATGGAAAGATCCAAGATGGTTCAGGAGTTTTAATACGAAAAGGAATGAAAATATAGTATTTTTTAACTGAAGTTAACACACAGATAGCTTAAGAGACTACATAAATTCCAAACTTCCAACCTGTAAGTATAAACCTGATATTTCAAGGCCTAAAAGAAGATACACAGTTCCTATGTGAGAGCATTAAAGGGGAAAAAAAGACTCAAAAAGGTAAGAACACTCTTCAGGCATCTACCTAGGAGAGAGTTCAATGGAAGGACCAATAAACATGCTTAAGCTTGTTCAGATAGCTTTCCCATTTTCTTAATTAGGGACACATCTGCCAAAAAAAAGGTCACATCAAATTCTTTGACTTATGGTAATATTAGAACATATTCTAAGGATGTATGAAAAAGCCAAGGAAACCAATGACTTCCGCCACTGATCTGTGAACGTAAATTTATGCAACAGTTTTTTTACTGAGCAGTGGAGGAAAATGATGGCAATGAGGGAAGAGGGAGAAATAAGAGTTCATACTCTTCAGTTTGCACCAAATTTTTCAGAAAGCTTCCCTCCTATAACAAGAACTGACAGAGTGCAAATGTTTTATAGACATGCTGATGACACTTAGCTCCTGAGCCTGACAAGCTGGATTCATGGAATACCTTCCTAACTCTTAAAATATGGCAGAGAAAGGAGAGCATCTAGTAAATGAGAGATTATCCTAAGTGTGAGCAAACAGTTTACAAAGATTCTATTTTTAATTAAACTTTTGCTAAGCCATGATGAAAAATGGACTGATATAAGTACAGCAAGTACCTACATATCTATCTCACACATGTAGATGGCAAACACAACAAGAAAGGCAGCTGAGAAAGCTAATCCCTTCCCTAATCAGCTACAGTGGTGGCTAGGGCTTGCTGGGTGAAGCTACAGTTGCCAACTGACATTAATATTAAAAGAATAATTAACTGTTGTGTACACAAAGCCCACATACATCTAGAGTGGAACTAATGTGAGCAGTCATTTGAAGCATTATAACATAGAATCATAGAATGGTTTGGGTTGGCAGGGCCCTTTAAAGGTCATCTAGTCCAACCCCCCTGTCATGGGCAGGGACATCTTCAACTAGATCAGGTTGCTCAGAGCCCCCTCCAATCTGACCTTGAATGTTTCCAGGGATGGGGCATCCACCATCTCTCTGGGCAACCTGTGCCAGTGTTTCACCACCCTCAGCGTAAAAAATTTCTTCCTTATATCTAGTCTCAATCTACCTTCTTTTAGTTTAAAGCTGTTACCATACATTAAAACCATTTAAAACCATTAACATACAAGTACTAGATGAACTTTACAATATAAACAACAAACCTAAATTCCAGGACATTTACAATGTGTCAGAAATAAAACTCTGCAGAAAAACTAGGGTTTACCATTACTATTTCGTATCAGAAAATTTTTGTTACTATTATCTTCTAAGAACTTAAGTTCCATTTCTTAACTGAATGCTTCCTTTAGGCTTGTTGGTGGTAAAGTCTTCATCTTGCCAATACAGTTTTGTTTCTCCTTTTAAAAGTTCACTTAACACAGTGAGACCTAAATAAAAGTGGTTAAAATAATGGAAAGAAATTTTAGGAAATCGTTATTTCCTAGTTTTAAATAATGAACTTACCTACATCAATAGTTGGCTTCCCCCTCAAAAGCAATTTCAAACACTCAGGCTTATTATACATACTGCAGTAGTGTAGAACCGTATTACCCAATGCTGTTTGCTTATCCAGGTTTCCACTAAACACAGAAGAAAAAACAATCAAGAAAAGTATAGTATGCTGTGCTATTGATTTCAGATCTAGCATCCCTATAAATAATAGATGTATAAATACTTTACTGGACAAATATGAAGTACAAGGAGAAAGAAATACTTTTAAATTAAACATTACTTTCAAAGACTATTAAGAATAGTTCCAAGCATACTGGAAATTCCTGAGCTGTGGTTGAAAAGGACTGAGCACCTGCAGATGTTCATTCAAAAAAAAAAAAAAAAAAGTGGAACTCAAAGATTCAAACCTAATCCTTTGTAAGGTCACGCCAGTTGTTTTCCACCTGCCACTTTACTAAAATTTCTTTTTCAAACATGCTAAATTAGCCCAATGAAAAAAATCTGAAAAATCATTTTGATACAGTTAGAATAGGTTGATAAGTCCCATGCATTCAAGGAACTATGAAGAGGGTGGCTGTGAGGATGCACAAGAGAGTCATAAGAAGGAGTATAAGGATACACACTGAGTTAGGGAAAGACAAGCTGTGCAAAGGGGTTCACAGGGCTTTTTAAAACTGTACTTCCTTCAGTTCGCCATTTCTAAAACAAGGTTTCTCAAAAAAAGTTACTGACATATTGGGATCAATATAGCACATTTATAAAAATGAAAAGAAAAGCTCAGAATACAACAGCTTTTCTTCCACTCAGTGTTACCCATATTAAACAATAAGTGCAGAGCCCATACGGTTGTAAAAATGCTCTTAAATTTGAGATTGAGACAAAAACACAGACAGCCAACAGAAACAGTTAAAAGATGATAGTTGTCTGAAGAAACGATGAAACTTCATAACTAAACAAAATCATTTTAAATAATCATCCAAAAAACCAAATCCTTTAATAATGCTCAAAATAATAATTTGGACTTCTAAAACATTTTTCAAGCTATGATCTCAAAGAGCTTGCAAATATTAGGAGCGTGTTTTGTTTTGTTTTGTTTTTTTACTTTATTAACACTCCTACAATAGTCAGCACTCCATTTAACATGAGGGAGTAGTGGTAGAATAAAGTTTAAGTGCAGGTTATGCAGCTAGTCCACATAGCCCAAGAGATGGTGTCAGGAACATGGATTCCAAGTCTGTGTTGTTACCAGAAGACCAAACTTCCTCTCTAACACTCTGTGTATACAACACTACATAAACTACTAAGCGAGGGGAAGGAAGAGAAATAAGTATTTGCTGACTGCATCACAATACCAGGTATGACTTGCTGTGCTGAGGGAAAAACAAAAATTAAAAAAAAAAAAATCCTCAAGCCTTCCCGCAGCCAGCTCAAGCAAGTTGTGAGGAGTCTTCTGTGTTTCCCCAACCTTCCTCTCTCATCATTCTGCAAAAACCACCATCTGACACGGCAAGCGACTACTGCTTCTTTCACTTAATAGCATACTATAGAAGTGGACTGCAACTGATGTCATTTAATCATTACCTACATTGTGAAATATATAAAAAATGTTGTACCATTACACCATTTGATTTTTTTTTTTTAAGAAAATGTTTTCATTAAGGTTTTTCACTTCTATGAACACATCTCTTGACAACAAATAGCTCAGCCAATAAACCAGATGTTGAAAATTACTAGTTAAGAATATTATGCTCTCAATAGCTTTAATACAGTTTATTAACTATTAGAACACCTTTTTCAAAGTCAATCTAGCTTCTATTCATAGTTTTCTGAGAAAGATCCTTGTTTTCTACTCTTACAATTTCTTTGCACGTGTCTTGTATTTGGAACATTGACTTGTCATCCCTCCTTTACCCAAAATATTCGTTTGCATTGTTTCATACTGTCACGCGTTCTAAATCAACGCTCTCTTTTGCTCTACATAGTTTTTCTTTTCATCCTATTTTTATATAACTGCTTTCCAAGTTTTTAAGCTACACTTCTTTCCCTCTCTCTGCTCATTAGGAGCAGAAAGGTCAACTCAAAGGTATTAAATTATGCTCTTTTGAAACGTATCTTAGCAGAACGATCATAAGTGATAAACAAACACTGTCCAAAGCACTGCAAGGATAGCTTTGAACATCTACATTTTTCATGCACAATTTAATGAAAAATGAGCAATCCATACCAGTTTTGTACAAGGAAGTCAACCAGATGGAGAGAGGTTTGGTCAGCAGTCCGGACTGCTAAATGAAGTGCTGTTTCACCTGGCTCCTAAACACATGTAAGTAGAAGTTAGATTTTTGCGTCTTATTTCTGCAAAGCTTATATCATCAGATATATGTCACTCACTCTTTTACAACAAGTCTTTCAACAGAAAAATATTATTAGGAAATTATGACGAAAGCAGTTATTGCCCTTCTGATCTCTAGAAGACACCATGCACTTCAAAGGAAACGGCATCACACTTTCCGAGATCATAGCTTTCTCAAAACCAGTCTTCCCTTTTTCCCAGCTGGATGGAACAATCCCGAGGAGCCTTTAACCATTTTAGCTACTAGTAACTAAAAGGGATCCTGTCAAGGAATACTGAGCGAGTTTACAGTACTTGTTGCTTTATGACACCTTGGTGAGCACCAAGCACAGCCACAGCACTATTTCCTACAAAACCAGGAAAAAAAATCCACAGAAATCATAGTCCTACATGTATTAAATCTCTTGCAGTATCACAGAATGGTTGAAGTTGGAAGGGACCTGTGGAAGTCATCTGGTCCAACCTCCCTGCCCAAGCAGAGCCACCTAGAGCCAGTTGCCCAGGACCATGTCCAGACGGCTTTTTGAGTATCTCCAAGGATGGAGACCCCACAACCTCCCTGGTCAACCTGCGCCAGTGTTTGGTCACCCACACAATAAAAAAAAAAAAACCAACCAAAACACGGCAGTTTCCTGATGTTCAGAGGGAACCTCCTGTGTTTCAGTCTGTGCCCATTGGCTCTGGTCCTGTCACTGGGCACCACTGAAAAGAGCCTGGCTCTGTCTTCTTTGCACCCTCCCTTCAGGTTTCCATATACACTGACAAGATCCCCCTGTGCCTTCTCTTCTCCGGGTTGAACAGTTCCAGATCTCTCAGCCTTTCCTCATACATCAGGTGCTCCAGACTCTTAAATATCTTTGCAGCCCTTCATCACACTCTCTCCAGTATGTCCACGTCTCTCTTGTACTGGGGAGCCCAGAACTACACACAGTACTCCAGGTGTGGCCTCACCAGTGCTGAGTAGAGGGGAAGGATCACTTCCTTGACCTGCTGGCAATACTTTGTCTAGTGCAGCCTGGGATACCATTGGCCTTCTTTGCCACAAGGGCACACTGCTGGCTCACGTTCAACTTGGTGTCCACCAGGACCCCCAGGTCTTTTTCTGCAAAGCTGCTTTCCAGCTGGGTGGTTCCCAGCATATGCTGGTGCATGGGGTTGTTCCTCCCCAGATATAGGATTTCTCCTTGTTGAACTTAAACTGCACCATACTTTATTTTTATATATATAACATATGCATTAATGCATTTAAATGAAACTGAATTAAACAGCATTTATATTTTCAAAGTTGCATGAGAAATTAACCTAAAGCCAGATTTCATTAACAACTATTGATCATAAAGGGCATTTAAAAAAAAGTATATTACAGTACATATATTTAGAATTAAAGTCACAACTTTTTAAAGAAGCATGACTTTATTAAACATCAGAGAATTTACAGTGGAGAATGTTGCTATAAAAGTGTCCTAACTGCAAACTACATTTCAATTGGTGTTCATACCTTTCTAGGTATCACTGACTGTAATAGCTGAGAAATGCTAAGGAGCTAATTCTGTGGTAACTGTTATGGATGACAAATATAGAAAGTTTACCTTGTAGTTAGAGAATTTGTAATGTGTTTCCATGATAAGCACTCTGTGATATCTCAAGTGCTGAGACTATATTGACCTTATTCCCTCCACTCGATACAGACAAGCACTCTGTCCCTTGCCAAGTTAGCTATTTTCACAGAACTTGTTGAAAACATTCTCTGAGATCTCTCCGAGTTGGGTTCAAAAGTAATGGGAGAAAATATTGCCGACCAAGTGGTTACACAGCATCAAATGTCTATAAAAACACATTATGTTGCTCTTGAGCAACATTTCTACACGGATGCTTGAGGTCAACCGGGACCGATTTTTCAAAAAAACTGTTACTGACTTCAGAAGGAAGATCAAGTATTCAGAACTTTATTTAAAAAACAAAACAAAAAACTCTCTTCCTGGTTGAAAGAATTTGGTACTTCAGTAAATGCTTCATCAGAAGCTGTGAAGGCATCAGATTTACTCTTTCTTCATACAGAGTAAACAGAGACTCGTATACAGCCAAGAACGTGTTCCTTCAGCAACTACTTTAAAAACAGATATGATACTGTTTGTGGTATCAGGTGACCCTGGGTTATCAAGCCAAGCCCTCTCTCTTTGGGCCTTTTCCTAAAAGAAATATACTGCAGAACAGGTGCTTTTCAACATACTATAGTTGCACCTAGAACAGTGTATGATATTACTATTGCATTTCACACTCCTTTAGACCAATTGATGACAACAGATACAGTCTTTTTTTCCCTCCCCACAATGATGCCACATTAAGGAATGGGAGAAAAAACCCACCATTTTCATCTGCTATTTCTCTTGTTTTAGCATCTAAGGTAGCAGCCCTGGGTCCTGGACATTTTACAAATACACGTTATTTAAAACTACTCTGCTTTGTTTACCTGATAAGCTTACCTGTCCAGGCTCTAACAGTGGCTCCATTAGCTCTACCCCCTCTGCATAGACTTGAATTAGTGCAAGTAAATCCCTGGATTTGACAGCCTCAAGTAATTCATTCAGTTTAGCTGCTGCAGATGCACAAGTCTTCCTAGAGAACTTATGATCTACATATTTAGCAGTGATAAATTCTTTACGTGCAGTCCTGTGGGGTGTGAAAATAGAGCTTGGTTTAGAAATTTTTAGAAAAATGGGTCAATGATTTAAATTTAAAATCACGTTGCCTAACTCAGGAGCTAAGAAGGGAAGAGGAAAACTATCAGATAAAGACTGTGTTGTTATTATAATGCACGTCTTCCTTGCAAACAAGCCCAAAATAAGGTACATATTCAATTTTATCCTGCGTTCTTGTTACATACGAAAATTACTCTGACTCTGGGGACTAAGACCAAAGAAAAAAGAAAGCCTGAAGTGTGATTTCTCATGGAAACATATCTACATGTTAAAAACAGGATAAGCATGAAAGACATGCTAAAAACAGGATAAAAGAAAAAAATACTAAGTCAGCTAGAAAACAGCATAATAGGTTAAAAGGTCTTCTGAGGCAAAACCACATCTGTTATGCTCTCTGTGCAACTCCTATGCCAGGGAAAGGGAGAAAAAGCTTGTCACCATCTCAAGACAGTACCTGAAGCTAGCGTCATTTAGTCCAACTGTGTTTATCACTTGAGGGTATACTACAAAACTCAAAAAAGTCAAGATTCAAAATAATGAATCTTGAAACCCAAACTTAAAGTTTTCTAAACTGAGAAACTGAGGTAGCTAAAATGTGACTACATGACAATAGACTGAACTTCTAAGGAACTCCACAGTTGGAGTAAAAAGCCCCAGTCTTCCGCCATCCTAGCCCTCCTCTGGCTTGGTTACTGTTTAAAACGTATTACATCACATATATTCCACAGTAAACAATGTTAAACAACTTAGAGATTCAAAACTTACATATCACTTGATGGACTGGGTTTAGGTGAAGGACTAGGTAAATTCCCTTCCATAATATCATTAAAACTAGTATTTCCTACATTCTTGGCCAGCTGCAATAAGAAAAAAAAAAAAAATACATATATATATATGAGGGCGGGGGGTTTGGGGTCTAACAGCAACCTACAAACTGGACTATTAATGTGCATTTTCCACACTATTAATAAAAGATGGAACACAGGATTGCAAAATTAAAGCACGATGATTACATTTAAATATAAAGCAATTAAAAACTATTCTGAAGTGTGAATCCTATCCTCTCAGAACTTGTACAATAGGCTTCACAGTCACAGCTAATTATTTGTATTTCAAGACAATCTGCCTCCAATATAAAAACTTAATGAGAACTAGCAGCATTAACACTGAAACAGTGCTAGTACACTGATTAGGAAGTTTCTTTTGGAAAGAAGCTCAGACCTACTGGAAAGTCATGCTTAGTACAATTTGATTTACATGAATAGTAACTTTGCAAACAACTCAAGATTTCAAAAAGAATACTAGTGCTCATGTTAAACCTACACACAAGCCCAGAATTGCCTTCTATCTTCTCTCAATTTTCCCATACAAAATTTCTGTAACAAGTGTCTTCTCACAGGCCAAACACAGTTGGGGAGATAAACCTACTGTAACTGGGGGGGTTTTTTGTTTGTATTTTTTTCTATCCCCCCCCCCCTTTTTTTTTTAGTAGTCTCACATCAAATTCCTTTCATAACTTCAATGCTACAGCGTTTCTTCCATCGAATTAAAAGATTCATCCAACATTTTTCTGTCAAAATTAGCAATGGTCATTCTCACTTGTCAAGTTAAATGAGCTTTCTTTTTTTTTTTTTAATCACATGAGATTTTAGACTGTCCTGATTTATGGTCAGGATCAGCTAATAACAGGCAACATTCTGATGGCACTAATCACAACAGATGTCAATATTCATTCTGCAAAACCTCAGGAAATGAACATGAGAAGTGACAAGTTGTCAAAAGCATCAATAATACATAATAGTAAAAACCCTCCCATGAGATACATACAAAAATATGAAGACGACATTCTGCAAAACCCATACCTTGAAAAAAAATTAACTGTAAATTATGCACCTGAATGTTTCCTATATACAGGTCAACATTTGCCTAAAAAAAAAAACAAACCCAAAAAAAACTTACCAAGAGTTCAGACGTTCCTAATTTGTCTAATTCCAAAGACTGGATTCGAGAAATATGGACACCCATTTCTCTGTGTATTCCAGAACACTCAATGCAGGTTAAAATGCCCAAATTAGTTGATAGCCATGTTGGATCTGTAGAATTGAAAAACAAAATATTTAGTCAAAGTCCAAGAAAAGGTTTTTAATGGTGGTAAGAAATCCCAATGTATTCCGATTCCTCATTTAATGTTTTAACAAATGGAAATAAACTAAGAATATTCCATACTTTTCTCCAAACTGCAGTGCAAATTTAACCACAAATTGCTACCAACGGAATTAAGTTTTTCAGATTTAAGGACAGTCCCAAAGGCACTGAATTTAGACTTATAAATCCATACTGAATAACCGTATTTGAATACATTTAGGATTTGTTTCTTGTAGAAAGAAGGTAACGCTTTTTCTTCTATAATTCTTAAACTTTAAATAGTCTTTTATAAAAGATTAACCATCGCATTTTCCAATATGTAAAACAGTAATATGTTGTAGAAAATAAGGAACACTAACCTTTAAATAGTCTTTCTTTATAAAAGATTAACCATCGCATTTTCCAATATGTAAAACAGTAATATGTTGTAGAAAATTTAAGGAACACTGGCTAGTTTAGGAAAAAAAAAAAAAAAAATTGCTGTCATGGAGGCGATCTGCATGTAATATTTGAATAGATCTTACACTATGAACGCTACATAAGAAACAAGACCAGTTTTTAAGGAACAGAAAAAGCTCCAGACATATTTTATATACATACATGTCTTCAAATCTATTCCTCAATCTTAAATAGTAACTGATAAAGCATCAAGTCAAGAGCTTCAAAGCAGCAAGCTGGGGTGCAGGAGTGAAGCTTAAAACTTCACTATAAATTAAAAGATGAATGAGAACTGCAATTCGAAGTTTCTCTAGCTTTACATGCTGAAATAATTGAGTGAACCAATCTCAGGATTTGACATAATTATATTCCACTTTGTATTTTTATCTAGGTATTTCTTATTTGGATCAGTTCTGCGTCAATAAGCATCTTCAAGATACATACTATCCACTCAGTTCCAAATGAGTATCACCTTCTTGAAGCGTCTCTTTAGATGTGGCAGCTATTACAGCTGCCAACTACCACATCGATTCAGTAGTTCTATGACAAGCTGACTCTTCTCAAGCTCTAAGCGACATACAACTGACCTGTAACTCTGTACTTCTGAAGATATAATCTGATAGGATTCCAACTCTGGGTCTCATTCTTTGCACAAGACTACTTATTCTTCCTCTGAATATTTTTGATACTGCAATTCCAGTAGTCTCATGCCAAGTTAAAACTTCAGAGTAAGATCCTGGCCAGGTCAATTTTTCCACAATCATTGTCTAAGCATTACTCACTTCTACTTAGTAGCATGCACAGGATCAGTGATGCCAAGCAACTTCCATTCAAGTGCAACAAGCATCTAGAGACAGTGCAACAAGAACAGTTCAAACTCCAGAGGGGCTTGAACTGCTGGAAGTAAGCACAGACAACACACAAAAATATTTTAGTGAATTAAACGGAACTAAAGTATGAAAGTCATATTTGTTCTTTTAAAAACAGGTTGAAGACTGATCAACACATCACTTAGAAAATTAGTTTGCACTTTACAAACACTTCTTTAAAGAAAGTACTTCGCTTCCAACAAGAAGTTGATGACATTAACAAATTGAGATACCTGGTGAGCCACAATCACAACAGACTTCATTTCCGGGTAATCTCTGTATGTCATCAATAATGGCTTTTGTCAGATCCTCTAAACTGTTTTCCCCTGTGCTCTGCTCTCCACGGAATGCCATATTTAATGCTTCTTCTTTGCTGTTAGTCAATACTGATATCCATCTAGCACAAGATAAAGACCTTAATGAAGATCTGCATTTGCAAATACAAGTTAATCTATAAACTGTAGAAAGCTTGTCAGGAACAAAATATTAGTGGGAATATAGGGAAGGACTGTATTGTGGGAGAGACTGACTGGGGAAAAAGTCAGAAATGGAAAGGAAAGAATTGAGAAAACGTAAGAAAGAATGAGAAAAGACAAAGAGAAAGAGTCTTCATTCTAATGTCCCTTTGGTGAACAATTTTAAAGTCAAAGCAGTATAGTTCTCGGGTTCCTCAAATAAGCAGAAGCTGTGAAAGAGAAAGGGTGCAATTAAGATCCTGTAAATTTAACTGCTTTAAAAGTAGGTGCCTAAGATCTTCCTGAAGCCTATCCCATTATTAAAGGAGAAAATTATAACCGCTACTTTCTCCAGTGTGCATCTTTCTCTTCACAGAGGAGACAGCAAGCACATTTTTGAATGTGTTGATGTCCAGCTGCCTTTCACAATGCAGGTCTCAGCACACTAATCAGAATGTAATTTCCAAATTAATGAAAATTGCCATGGCAACAAATGGGGTAAGGAAGAGAAGATGACAGGAGAGTAACGATATCGATAGCCAACATAAAATTTTAAGAGCAACTGCTGACTGCAACAAATCAAGACTCTTCAATGATATTTCAGGCAGTAGTTCCACACACCCCCAACCACTCTGCGAGTTTTTGTTTACACAATAATGTTTTAATTAAAAAAAACAAACAAAAAAACTCTCAGTGGCTGTTGCCCTACAGGTGGAAGTAAAGAGGGGCAGTGGTTATACTAAGGACAAGCACATTGCAGATGCAGTGTTCTCTAATTTAGAAAAAGAGCAAGTTAAAAAAAACCCTCCCAGGTATAGTGATTTTAGATGTTTTTACATCTACTGCAAATACACCTTTTTTACACAGAAATATTTTAACTTGGCAGTGCCCTCAATCCATTTGCTGTTTACAATATCACAATTATCTGCAATCATCAATCTTCTGAAATGTGCTAAAATGGCTATGGTCATCTAAACAAACTAATAGAACTTCAGATTGAAATTCCTAATTTCTCACTGAAATAATAATGCAAAGATAAACTTTAAAGTATTTCAGAAGGAAAACTATGTATATAATCTCGCAATACAGATTCAGGGTCTGAACTGGTATATAGGCACTGTATATTATATACTTCATATACATATGTTTTTTAAATTTTTATGGGCAGAGACTAATCTGAGAACTTGTATTTAAAAGAAAACGCTTTTAAAAATTATTGAAAAGTCACACTTAAAAATAAAAGAGACATTGAAAGATTTGAAAACAACTTTGCTCCATAGTTTACATGCTGAAAACAAGTATATTTACATGAATCTCTCTCTCTCTAGCTATATGATACAATGTAAGAACCGACACTAGATGGCATTCTCCTGCAATTTTTCTGATGAAATCCAATGTTACAAAAAAAGTAAGAGGCGGCAGTGTCTCGCTTCTGACATTATAGTAATGTTGTGTTAAACACAGAGTAAAATAATCATTAAACTCAGACAGACAACATTTATTCTCACATTTGCTGACAATTTCTTTCAGGGTTACAATTTGATTAGTTTGTTAAAAATGCAGAATTTGAATAAAACTCAACTATGCAGTAACAATTAAAAAAATTATTAGATGCAATTAAAATAAACATGACATGACTGAGCCAGCTGTTAGTTTGATACAGATTTCCATATTAAGAGTTTCTAAACTGTAAGAGCAGTAACTTATTTTGGTTGCGTTTCCTCAGCTAGAAGGAACCCACTGTCCAAGGCTGCAAGTCATCGGTGTCACCTGCGAGACAGAGCACGAGGCACCGCAGTGTCAGCTCTTCCCAGACATCAGCAGCAAGGCCCATTTGACACAGGCACAGTAGCAGACACGTTCTTAATGACTAATGCCATTTATACAAGAAGTCCCCAGTTGGTCACCAGGCCTTCCTGGCAAGGCTGTACGCTCAAAAATAAACAAGTCTAATCAGTAAATATGGTATATTAAGTCAGTGTCAACAGTTTATAAAAACTGTCTTATGACTGCTGTTCTTCCCCTTTTTTCTTATCTGCACTAGTCTTCTCTTTCTTCCTTTACTTTTTTTTTTTTAAATATATTTGATTTATTTCACCAGCCTCAAGCTAACAGTCAAAGAGCTTCTGGTAATACTTTGTAGCGTTCTTTCAAATAATTTAAAAATTACTCAAGTCTCACAGAATTGCTTTGCCTTCTATCTAATACAATAAGACAGGTTGTTCAATATTCTACTACACCTCTTTTTCTGGGTCCCAGTAGTTTCTTGTGGTCCTTTAACGCATTTTATTTGCTGGAGATTCCCACCTTTGAAGAAAGTCATGAGGCTAAACAAAAATCTGGCATCGTGGGTGCCTTCTGGATCCAATGAAGGCAACAGAAGGATTCATTAATCTCAGATGGACCAGACTCTCAGATTCCTCAGTATTTCTAAGCCAATAAAAGCCCTCCCAGAATAACGAGGCTAACAGTTTTTTCAGTTTGCAATAAAAATTTATCTCTGTCTCTTCTGACAATCCCTATTGCAACATTGTTGTTTCCAGGTAAATGCATAAACAGAACACTAGCATAGTAATTTTCAGACTTTCAGAAACAACTTTTTTGTATGGAACAAGCAACAGATAGTATCAAGACCTTCCAACTCAGTCCTCCCAAAGTAGAAAATGTCTGAAGACCGCTGCTAAACACTAGACTGAAGTCAGATGTGTGTTTCTTCACAGCTAAATTTCTGAATATAGTTCTGTGTATAATCCAGGCTTTTCCTACAGAAATGGATATACTCTTGACCTTCAAAAAGAGAGTAGAAGAGAACTAAAAGGTCATGTCCAGAGTATGTTTGGCCCTATCCACAATTATCAAAAAGTAGAAAACATCTATTATTGTGTATGTTAAAAAAATTAAATCTGGTTAGAGATCCAAGGTAACAGACACATAAATATACACACGCACTTCCCCCCCTGCACACACTGTACTTTATCCACTAGAAAACTAATAATCCACTGAGAAATTTGAAGGACAGTCAAGCAGTAATTAAAGGTCAGACAGCTGGCTGGATAAGAATCAAGAAATGCACTGGACTAAGGTAAATGTTTGAGGGGAAGCAGTAATAGACCTATGACAGAATGTAGGCTTCAGGTGATTTGTGTTTGAAACCGTCTGCTTTATTATTATTTTTATTTTTAAGTAGTTTGAGGAGCTATTTATGGAAGCAGTTTAAGATGATCACTAGGACTACATATGCAAGGTTAGTTAAACTAAGAGTATAAAGAAATGCCTCTTGCTTTTTTCTCTATTTAGATGTGAGGCTGGAAGGAAAGTGATTTGAAAATATATTTATATTTATTCCTCAATTGGTGCACAAGGATAAAAAGACAGAACAGAGGCAGGACTAAAACTGGGTGGACAAAACGCAACAAGATGGAGAAGAAAGGGATGAGAGGAGCACACATATACAAGTGAAGTGGAAATTGGAACAAAAGGATGACAACTCTAATTGAGGAGCTGCATCGCATAGTTCCTGCAGAATGCTCTTAAATTAACAAGGCTGGAAGTCCAAGGGTGCTGTTCGCATGACACCTTAGATAATGAAGCTATTTAGGACCTACTAGTGGCTGCACAAGAAAAATAGAACATTTGGTTATATTGTAGTTTTTCATCAACACATTAACAGTCATTCTGGTTCATGAACTTCAATTAACTAAAGATATTGCACAAATTTTCCTAAAGAAAAGAGAAAGTAAGTTTCCATGTGCATCTCAAAGTGCATACCATTACTTGGGTCACTTAAGTAATTTTCTGAAACAGAACACTTGTCTAAGTAGCATTACAGTACCTTTTTGTTGGTGGATTACAGTGCCAATACAGGCAAAATACACTTAGTGTCTATTAGTTTGTCTGCATGTATTCCAACACTTGGATGTAACTAATGTCTCTTTAGCTAAATGAAACTTTTTAAACTTGCAGCAACATAAAAATATTCCAGTACAAGTCATTTTCTCAGCCACTGGACTTTAAAGTGATAAATCAGACTTTAGCAATGAACAAATGGGAACTATAGTTCTAATGGGAAACAAAACCAGCCTGGAATTCCAAAACAGTCCAATGGGCAGCCAGCTAACTAAATTTATTGACCTGACAATCAGATGTATTAATTTACTAATGTATTCTCTCCCTACCTTGCTCATGCGTTAAGACCAAAAAAAAACCCCAAACAACCAGACAAAAACACTTCACTTTTTAAACCAACAAATATAGTAAAAACTAATTTATGGCAGAGACACAAGAACTTCTGACTCATCAGGTGCATTACTGATCAGAAGTAACAGTATTTTCTTTTTGACTAAGAACCTTACTGGAATAATTAAGTTCCAGAATGAATGCAGTAAGCACGACTAGCAAGTCAGCTTTGCACTCCAAGAGCCAACATAAAGCTGTGGAAGACTGGAAGGAAATAGCTGCATGTCAAAGAACTCTCCAGCCCTCCCATTTCATTCATGCGTCCCAACGTTGAACTGTCAATGCCATTGCCTCCCAACACTACCGAACAAGTGAAATACCCTACAAACATTCCCTGTACCTTTACAATACACATGGTGCAACACAGTCTTCCATTAGAATACGGACATGCAACAAAAGAGCACAACAGTCCTGAAGAACGAGGTAGCCTGGAAGGCTCAGGCTTACTGCCCTCTTCACTAGTAACTTTATTCCTAGCCTTGCCAGGTGATGAGCATTAGATTGCAATGTTCTGCACAACACATTTTCGATGACACTGAGAGCAATATTCAGGAGGAAAAAAAGTGGTACATGGTTCTCGGGACAAGAAGCTCTGACGTAGCAGGAAGAAAGATTGTTTTAAAGGAAATAATCTGGTTGGAAACATGCATTAATGAAGCAAGTTACTGGATTCTGAAGTACACAATCTCAGAGATATGTTTTGCTGTTTATTTCTAGGCCTACAGTAGAAAAGATGCATTACCTGTAAATATTTTCTACGTGTTATCTTTTATCTATTTGTTATTTTTAATTTAAAGGAAAAGGTAGGATCAGGAGGAAGAGAAGTAACTGCAAAAGAGGGTTGACACAGAAGATTTAAGAACAATTAGGAATATTTCATTTGAACCCTAATAACCTGATCTACTATATCATGCCAAGCAACTGCACGCAAACCATATGCTGGCAGGGTACACAATCTAAATGGGTTTTTGGTTGGTTGGGTTGGGGTTTTGTTTTGTTTTGAATGTTACAAGGTTTTCAAAGAGCCCTGTAGCATGACACAAAATAGTTTACATTTAGAGATTCACAACAGCAGAAAAAATAGTTTACATTTAGAGATCCACACCAGCAGAAAAAACAGACAGTAGGCACTACTTCTGCATTAACTGAGAAAACTATTTCCACTGTTACGTGTGATTTTATACACCTCTATTGGCAAAATAAACTTAAAAAAAAGTAAACATTCTTACGCTACGTATTCCTGTTCATCTTCTGCTTGAAAGTGGTATGTTCTGTTATCTGAAATAAATACATACATCTTTTCAGTTGGCACGTGATAAATTTTAAAATACCAACATATTTGTTACTAAAAACTATTTGGCAACTAAAGCTTTTAAGAGCAACTGCCCTTAACCAGCAACATTAATACTTTATTCATAGCTATGGAAAACAATTCTAAAAAAAAAAAACAAACAGAGATAAGATGAAATTGTGAATTTTGATTTACACCAAACGTATGTATTTCAGAAGTCTTATGTTTAGAAATATTAAAGAAAAATAAGCATATGAAGCAAATTTTTCCCTTCTGAAGTCATAGATAGCAGAAAAGGGCAAAATGAATTTGTTCCTATTATATACTTTTCCCTCCGTGTGGGTTAAGAAACTTCTTTTTACTAACCAAAGGATTAGATATGAACTGGGTATTCTCTCTCACATACAAGAGTTTCACAGACTGTCCTTGTAAATATAGAATGTTGGAACCGTTTGTTGTTTAATACTATATATGTAAAGACTGAAAACAGTAATTTGACTCATCAACTTCAAAAGTGTTTTTAAAAAAATCAGACTGGATACAAATACCTGCTATAGGAGACAAAAATGGAAGGAAGGGAAATCACAGAAGCTATAATGCTGAGAAGACAAGTCACTACCAATTTTAAACAAACAGAAGCATATTTTAAGAGGAAGATAAGAGAACAAGAGAAATTGGGTTCTCCTTGCCTTCCTCAATGCCCCAAATAGCACTCAAAAAGCAGAACAGACAATGAAGGAAAAACAAAATGAGGGCGAAGGTGTTTTCCATTTCCTGGTGGATATAGCTTATGCATGTTTCACTAAGCTGTTTAACATCTCTCTGAACTTAGGAGAACAGCACATACACTGCATTTCATGGCTTGTCACAAATGAACAGTATTCATGTCACACACCACACACACAAAAGGTTCTACATTCATTTGTCCATTCAACCCATCTTCAAAACTAGAGGAATCTGAACACTCATGAGGCACTGCATGTATCTGGATATAGATCTGAATTTTGAACTGTAGCCTCATTTTTACCCAAAGTATCTTGTAATGACATTTTTAGAAATCCCACATAATGCAAGATGGTACTAAAGTTGCTACATACGTGATATTAGATCAAAAGATTTCTTATCTTCAGCATTTGGCTTCACCTGGCAGGTCAGTAAATTCAGTTTAGCTGGTTGCCTGTTGGACTAAAAAGAAAATTTATTTTACTTTAAAAATGTCTTGATTTAGGATTATTTTTCCTTTCTGGGGAGTGGGCATGTGTGATATTAATTTAAGTGTGGACATGCATACATGTACACCCTCAAAACGCTTGAGACCAGCATGACTGTGACTCGGTCTGTCAGAATGGACAGATTACTAAACCTAAACAAAATTAAAATCTTCATGGCAACCCTTCCTGACCATTTGAAAGGGATTAAAGGAATAAACTTAATTTAGAATATGCTAACACTGAAGGTTTTTCTTTTATTTCATAAACGATGGTAAAGCTATTATGCAATTTTTCATTACAGTATGCCCATATTCCTATTTTCCTCCCATTTTAAATAAATCAAAGATATAATCCTAAAAATTTAAAAGGAGGGTGGGAAGCTGGAGATCTGGAGTTTCAGAACTTAGAATAAATACATATACTAGTATTCTCTGCTATAATTAGGTTACTTAAGACACGATAACTAAATATGTCTTTATTTTGGGTTTATAAAGGTTTATCAGAAAATATAGAGATATTGAATTAAAGTTAATATAGCTGGCAGATATAAACTGAACTTAAGATGTCATTTATCAGTAAATACTTCTGAACTGAGTTTTGGAAGTTGCTCACTTTAGAAGTTATAAATTAAATATAGAAGTAATGCAAAACCAACAAACAAACAAAAAAATTCTGGAAATACATGCCCCAAGTTGTCAAATGTTTGTCTGAACAAGCTCATCAACATAGTATTTTTAACACTTAAGGAGCAACAGTTCCTTGAAGGAGCAAATATGTGATTGGAGTCTCAGTTTTCAAAGTTTAGTGTCAAACAGACTGTCATGATATGAACTTTCCATCACTGAAAACAAGAAAATTACTTTCTTCTTGGCACTGCAACAGAAAAGAGCAAATGGACTGCTTTTACACAGCTACGTACAAGAAAAGGAAAACTACAGTCGATAGTGCAATTCAAAGAATTCTAAATTGGCAAATCTTGAGCTTGGCAATACAGATTTTTTTAAAAAAAATGGTGATAATTGAGCCATTGCTAACAAATTGTAAGTAATTTGACTAAGTGACTCCTCAAAGGATGTGAGGATATCTTCCTAGCCATTAAAAAGAACCAACCTCCAGTACAAAATGTAATAACTTCCCTTTAACCTGCTGAAGGTAGGTGGTTAACTTTAGACACTGACACTCATGGCCATCAGTGGAATTTGGGAGGAAGGGGAAGAAAGGGTGATGAAATGGGACCATCTCCTTTAACAGGAGTAACAGGAGTTACTCTTGTTTCCGACAAGTTTGTGTCATGCTGCTGCGAGACAGTTTTAGGACTGCCTCCACCATTATAATGTTGTTGCTTCCTCCTGATTTAACATTCCTAGGAAGATACTTCAGATATACGGCCAATTCCCAGAAATCACTATGATAAAAACTTTCCAAAATTTCACACTTTTGGTTGAAAGCACTCAAAGCATTAATACATTCACTCATCTGTCAGACTCTATCAATAACATCTAATATCAAACACTTCCCAAGTTTCCAAATGATGTGCTTCACAGATATACCATGACAATGCTTATGAGCAAAACCAGCTGAAAAAGTTGAAAAGTCTGTTCAATATATTTGCCATTTTCTTATCAAACTATTGATAAATACATTTAAGTATTAAATCAACTGTCACAAGCTATACCAGTGGGGAAAAAACTGAAGGAAAATTTTAGATGGCTAAAGAAGAGTTCACTTACTTCATACAGTCCACAGGAAGTTTTGAAATTAATTTCAAGCCAGCCTTTATTCTAATTTTTCTCACTCTGATTAGTTGAACAATTTTGAACTTTTTACAAAATGAACGTGTAGACATTAAAGTGTTTTAAATAGTTAACATCCTATGTAGGAATAAAGCATCTGTAATACAGACATCTATGTATGAGCTAGTTATTAGTCTTCCCATACAGTCAACAGCCAGAATTGAGTTTGTAACAAGATATCTGACAAATCTACCCAGACTCCTTTGACCACATTGACCAGCTCTCCAGTAGCTAAGAGAGGAGTCTACAAGATCTTGCTCTGATGCAGACAGCTACACTGTAGACACTTCATTTTGTTCAGATGAATCACATTCCGTATCTCAAAGGTATAGTAAGAACAGGTGTACTGCTCCGTTTAACTTGAAGCACTGTTCCTACTAGTGGTCGGCAGCAGACAACCAGGAAAAATTTTAACAGAGCAACACGTATAGCAATACCGCCATAAATGAGTCTCCAGCTTCTAATAACCCACAGAACTTCAACACTCGGAAGCAGAAGTGGCATCTTTTTTGTAATAGCAGATGAACACCAACAGATTCACTGGGAAAGGATAATGTTAATTTATTATTTTAATAAAAAGGTATAAAAATAACTTACCGTTGCATGTGATATGGTAAGAATTCCATTTTTAACAGTGCACTTTCTTCTCTGCCATACTTTCCTTAACCTGCATAAGAACATCAACAACAACAAATTCAGTAACCAGACATGATCTCAAAACATATGTTAATCCCATTAACATTTTGAGAAGATTAGCCTTGAGAAACAAACAGATGCAGTCAAAATTACTAAATGCCTCATCAGAAGTAACTTGAAGATTTATGACAGGTCTTAATCACCTATTAGAGACTTATAAAGACAACAGCTTTCTTTTTAATATGACTTTTTTTTTTTATGATTGCTTGCCATGCTTTTTATATTTACTACGTTCATTTCAGATGTGTGTTCAGATTTAACTGTGAAATTCTTGAGTACTTGAGGCACATGCATTAGGGGAACATGCCGTAAGCACCCACAGTACAACACAATAAAAATCAGTGCAGGAACACAGTAATAGTTCTCACTATGTATTATGCGCTCCAAGAACATACCCATCACTCTTCTTTAGAAGAAAACCTTTCTTCTCACTGCCATATTCCTTATTCCCCTGAAGCTGATGCATACTATATCCTCCTTGCCTGCTCTGTGAATCCTAAAAAATGGGAAAACACCGTTAACGTTTCCTGACGTGCACAGTAAGTTTTCCTAACTTTTAAGCCTATTTTACTTTATTTCTCTTCTCTACCACAACTTCACAAATTAATAAAAATTAAAAAAAAAAAGCGACAACTAATGTATGTTTTACATCTATAGGAGAGATTGCTTTTACATCACGTGATCTTGAACTAACTGCATGTTCAAGATTCAATTACTTCATTAGGTGTTTGAAGTATAGTATGGATGCAAATATGCATCTCAAAATAATGGCTTTTTAAAATATAGAAATTTAACATTGCGTAATCTTACAATCAAAGAGTAAAAGGCTAAGATAAAATTTCAAAAAGAAAGCAACAGAATACAGCATGCATATATACGGAAACACACATATATAAACAAACAGAACCAAATGCTAACAATCACTTTTTTTTTTTTTTTTAATCCAATTAAAATAATGTATACAATTCATGAGTTTTAGTGAATGAAGTCAACTGAAATAACTTTCGGTCTGACCTAGTGAAACAATTAAGTGAAATGGATTAACTTTTTATAAGCATATCAGAAAAAAAAAAATCCCCAAAAGTTCATTAAAACATTGACTTACTCTCCTAGACTTCGATCACGAAAGGCAAAAGCAATAGAGAAAAGAGAAAGCAAATAATTTAAAACAGGAATTATTATTTTATTTAAAAAACATGTTCCTTGAATATAAATTTTACAGCCCCCATATCTAGTAAAACAATTTTTCCCCTTTTTAACAACACTACTAGAAAGAAGGCAAGAATTACTTTGTTTAGGCACACTGGTGCTTTTTTTCATCAAGTAACAAAACATCGTAACAAAATTCTGTGCAGCCTTGCATGTATGACATTGGCTTCATAAAAGCAATTAAGATGACTACAGGATCAAATTTTACTAAATGTCTTCAAGACTTTATTACATTTAAATTGGCTAAAATGATAGCTAAATTGTATCCTCCACCAAACTGGAGTTAATTCTGAATTTCCATTGAAAAAGATCAGGCCCAAAGTTAACTTCTAATTTTTGCAAATCTATATCAAAAGGTATAATTAAGGACACGTTGATACGGTTTTAAATGTAGCTGTGAAACAATTATCTGCAAAATTCCACAAAAACCCAAAAGAATGGGAAGTTCAATTACTCCCTTGGCAATAACCTCTTCTCTTTTAAAGCACAGTTACTTACAATCACCACAACCAATATATATTGAAGATTATTCCCTCCTGTTTTATTCAGGATCCTTACAACTGTTTTTCATTTTGTATCAAATTTGTCATAGGAGTTTAGAGAGAAGTGTTTTGGTAAAGCTGGCAGTTGTGGCTGGAAGCAGCATGAAGGCTGCTATGTAAAATGTGCTGTCAGCAGTAAGTGTTTACACCATCACAGTAAGCAGCTAATTTGTTATAAGTAAATTTCAAACCCCCATTGGAATTAGGGTCCTATTGGTATTAGCATAGGAAAGAACGTAGTGAGATCTAATTCCTGTTCCAAAGAGCATATCAGATGGAGATTTGGGGAAATAAGTCAAAATGTAAAGAAATAGTTAACAAAACATGATTCTGAAGACTAGCTACATTCAACATAAAGCTGTTAAGTTACATTTGTACCAATAATTAATATACAAAAATAGGGAATAGAAGCCTGTATTAAAGGCCTGGTTACCTTTAAAATTTAAGCTTCTTAACATATAAGCATTTTTGAACATATAAAACAGATGCTTTACACAATTAAAATTCACAGAATCATAGAATCATTAAGGTTGGAAAAGACCTCTAAGATCATCGAGTCCAACCATCAACTCAACACCACCATGCCCACTAAACCACGTCCCTAAGCGCAGCATCTACTCGTCTTTTAAATACCTCCAGGGATGGGGACTCCACCACTTCCCTGGGCAGCCTGTTCCAATGTTTCACCACTCTTTCAGTAAAGAAATTTTTCC